ATAGTAAGTAAGTTTATAATAATAGGTAGTAGAATTATTAACAGGTTTAGGTTAAGTAACTATAAATATAATAAACTAGTAGTAGAATAAGAAGGGAATAGATATAGATAATTATTTAGTCTACTAACCTAAAACTTTAAGACGAAGCCTAGACTAGAAGGAGAGTAGTATTATAAAATAAGAGTTAATAACTAGTTAGGTGTTAACTAGTATAAGCTAATATATAATATACTTTATAGATTTTAGCGTGCTCTATCTAATCTATAGTAGAGTATACTAAAAAGAGTAAAGTAGATAGAGTAAATAGAGTAGAGGTATAAAGATACCTACTTTAGGCTATAATATATAGGCGCGCGATTTTATACTATAGTATAGCTTAGAGTCATGCTTAACTTAATATAAGAATCTTACTATTCTTATAATAAATCCGATTATTACCTTATAATATTAATCTATTATTATTTATTCTACTCTATTCCCTAACGCCTTAATTAGTATTATACTACACTCTAGTACTAAGCTGTAATTACTTAGAGATAGCAGCTCTATTATATATCTATAGATAGATAGATAAATAAAGTATATATACTAAGTACTAGAGTAGTACTTAAGAGATTATATAAACTCTAAATTTATAAGCTAGGTATTACTATTACTATTTATATAGCTAGTATATAATATAAGTTTAAATAAAATAATAGTATAAATACTACTCTATATAAACTATAAATACTATATATAGTTATACTATAGACTAAAGAAAGTCTATATCCTAGTAGAGTTAGCTAGGCTAATAAAAAAAATGTTTAATAAATATACTAAAAACTATAAAAAGATATTAAATTTGTATTATAGAGGTTAATATTCTACTATAATAAGTATAGATCTAGAGAGTGTATACTTAAAGAGAGAAATGAAGTTTACCTTCTCTAGAAAAATATTAAAATAATAAGACTAAGTAACAAATTAGACCTTCCAAGATTATTAGAAATATTAAGAATATAAGCTATAAGCTAGATCTACTAAAGAAGATAAAGATTTACCTAGTATTCTATATTTTACTATTAGAGCTAGCCTCTATAGAGGTATCTATATTAGCTAAGATACTAAATAACTACTTGAAAGAATAGAAAAAATAATATAAAGTATAAAGTGTCCTTAATAATAGTACTAACTTTAATAATAGTATATATAAATACCTCATAAAATAGAAAGATTACCTAGACTTAGAGAATATATAGAAGCTATATACTAATCTTAAGAGAATTAAATAAGCTATAGGAAAGTACCTTAAAATCTAAGATTTAATTATAGGTACAAACTAGCCTAAGGAAAGAAAAGAGTAACTAAAAAAATTAAATCTATTATCTAAAGTAGGAAATAGATTAGTGTTAAAAGAATTGAATATAGCTACACCTAGGGGGCTTATAATAGAGGTAGTAGTAGTAGTAGCCTTTCTTTTCTATTCTAGCTTTTCTAGCTTCTCTATATTATTAAGATTATAGTAAACTATCTCTACTTTATACTTATCTAGAGAGTATTTAAGCTCTAATATACAATTAATTTTAGCTAACTCTACTATTATTAGCTTATAAGTAGTAGCTCTATAGTTAAGAGCTATTTTCTTCTTAGTATAAAAGTAGAACTATTTCTTATCTACCTTTATAAATATTTTTAAGGAAAAGAGCTCTATATTATACTTATACTTCTTATATAAGTATCTTAAGTAGAATAATAAGCTAATTAACTTCTAATAGTAAGTACTAGTATAAGCACACTTAGTATATTCAAAAGCTATAAAAATACTATATTACTAGACTTAATAGAGTAACTCTTAGTAGTAGATACTAGTTTTACGATAAGATATAGTAAAGTAAGAAAAATAGTTTTTAGAATATAAACTCTTAAAGAGAGAAGCTAGTATTATAAACTAGCGCTTAGTATAGAGTTTATCTAAGACTAGTAGAGTTACTAAGACTATTACTATTATTCTTATTATTTCTAGAAGGAATAGATAATAGGAATAGTAGAGAATACTAGCACTACTATCTACTATATTCCTAATAGAGGTGGATAATAGAGATGATAGAGACTATAGATTTAGTCTAAGTATATAGATAGCTAATTTATACTATAGTATAGCTTAGAATTATATTTAACTTAGAATAAGAATCTTATATTCTTATAATAAACTTAATCTTTACCTTATAATATTAATCTATTATTATTTCTACTCTATTCTATAATATTTTAATTAGTATTATACTATACTCTAGTAGCGGTGTTATCTTATCTTAAGCTAGTATCTATTATAAATAGCTCTAGATAAGCTCTATACTAAGTGCTAGTTTATAATAATAGAGTAATTTAAGAGCTAAGTACTATAAGAAGCTAAACTCTAGTAGTTTACCTCTCGCGGTATTCGAGCGTTTATATTATAAGATAAGATATTAGTTAAGAATTAAGCTTCGCAAGATATTAGAGGCTAGTATAATATTCTAAAGATTAAGAAGATCTTAATAAACTACTTTAAATACTATCTATAGAGAGCACTCTATATCTATATAACTATTAGTATTTAAGAGATTATCTCTACTTCTAAGTTAACTCTAGTATTATAGCTATTATAAGGTTAATAGTCTACAACTAGTAACTAGTATATTATTCTCTCTTACTACCTTAAAAACAAGCTAGCGCTTAGTAATTCTAGCTCTACTTTAAGTATAGAGTATAGATACTAGAATTAGAGCTATTCTAACTATAGTAAGATATAGTCTAGAATGTATTAGATATTAGGCTCTAACTTTCTATTATAATTACTACTCTATCTATATCTAAATACCTATTACTTAAGCGTATAATATTAAGAATAGTATTACTATAGTTAAAGATTCAAGCGATAATATTATACTATAGCTAGCTATAGATAAAGAAGAGCGTGCTAATAAGAACTAGGCTTAGTTACTAGTCTTAAAAGATCTAGCTTATAGATACTCTAGTTAGTAAGTGTCTCTTTTTAGCTAGCTACTATACCCACCTTTATATTTCTATCTATAGTTTTAACTACCTCCTTAACTCTCTATAGCTACTCTAAATAATCCCTTACTATCTTTACTAATAGTAGCTAGAGATAATCTAAATAAGGTAGTTATATAGTTTATTAACTAGATTAAGAGTTAATAGAGCTAGAATATAGAGCTAGTATAGAGTTTCCTTAAAGAGCTAAAGATTTACCTTATTTAGAATAGTTAGAATCTTATTAGATTATAGGAATCTATATCTAAGAATTAGTAGTAGTAGTATAGCTTTAAGCTAGAGTTTCTTACTTATATCTATAAGGAGATTAAGCCGTTTAAAGACTCTTAGTATTAGGCTTACTAAATACATTTTTTCTAATTATAGTTTAGCTTAAATCTATCTATATAGATCTAGAAGTCTTAGATCTTAGTATATTATTATATATATTCTTATTTTTTATATCTAGTGTTTCTTACTAGAGCTAGTTATCCTATTCTATTCCCTAATTAAACCTAGATAGTTGGTGTAAAATATAAGCTAGATTAGCTTTAATAATTCTTTAGTAACTCTAAAAATTCTCTAGTAACCTATTACTAGCTAGAAAAAATTCAATACTAAGTAGTATTTAATAGCGTAATATCTTCTAATTATATATATAAGCGGTAGCGGGGTTTTAGATATATTATATCTTAGGACTATTTTTCATAAGTATTACTACAATATTCGTAGTGTATTTAATTTAAACTAAAAAAGATAATAAGTATATATATAGATTTCTATATAAATACCCTTAGACTATAGTTAGTATACCTAAAATAAGCTCTTACATTTCTTCTACTTACTATATAGATTACTATATATAAGAATACTAAGAATTTCTCTATTTACTCTATTAGCTACTACTCTCGCCTTATCTAAGTCTTTATATTAGTAAATATTAGCTTAATAGAGCTAAAATTAGGTAAGTAGAGTAGAAAGTCGTTAAGTTTAATACTAGTATTCTAAAATATCTACTCTATCTCCTAGCTATAATAAATAGACGTATTACTTATTATAGTAATTAATCTTCTAAGTCTCTTCTATACCGCTAGTAGTAGCTAGTGCTATAGCTAGACTTTAAAGATTATAGCTATTATTAAGCTCTAAATAATAAGAGTTACTATTCTTATATAACTCTTAATTATTAATACTAGTAAAATAGAGTACTACTCTAAGCGCTAGCTTAGTATAGTATTTATAGTAGTAATCCCTTTAGGTTACTAATTATACTACTAGTTATCTATCTATCTATTAAATACGCTCTTATTTATAAAGATAAGCTTACTTTTATTATATTAAAGCTACTAGGCGTATTAAGCTACTTATAATACTATATCTCGCTCTACCGCTTATTATAATATCTTTTTATAACTCTATTTAGCCTACTAAAGTATTTAGTAGATAGTAGTAATTAATAGTCTAATACTATATATCTAGTTAAGCTAACTAGCTATCTTATTAAGATATATAGTAGAGTAGCACTCTTACTATTTAATTAATACCTATACTACTTATTAGCTATAGTATTATAATAACTAGCTAGAGTAGTCTCATATTCTCTTTTATAATAGTAAGTAGCTTTAGATAGCTAGTGATAACTAATAGAGGCGGGTATAGACTACTAAATAGAGTAAGGTTTAATTATATCTAGTACATTATATAATAAGAGGCTTTTATTACTCTTTTAATCTCCTTAATAGGAGTATCGGTTCATGGAAGAAATATAATAGTATTAATAATATCTTCAGGTAGTTTACGACCTATTACGGCATTAAATTATAGTATAATATAGCTTTCAGGCTTCAAGACGATAACTAGTGGTGGCGGTGATAATTCTCGAGTTCTGCCAAGAAATGCAGCTACGTTATGCAAAGAACAATATTTGTGCTCGCAAAGGCCGACCGCCAACCCCCTCTCCAACCGCTCCCCCAAAAACCTCCACCATGCCCGCCCGCCTCGCCGGCAAAACCGCCCTGATAACGGGCTCCTCCTCCGGCCTTGGCCGCGCCATCGCGCACGCCTACGCCGCCGAAGGCGCGCGCGTCTGCTGCGTCGACATGTACCCGACGCTGCGCAACGCCGTGAACTCCTCCACGGGCAAAGCGGACGACTTCCACAACCGGCGTAGCGACGGAGTCCCGACGCACGAATCGCTCGTTGCGGAGTACAGCGGGGATCATATTTTTGTGCGGGCGGACGTGACTCGCGCCGAGGACGTCGAGGCGGCGGTCGCAGCATGCGTGGAGAAGTTTGGACGGTTGGATGTCATGGTTAATAACGCGGGGATCAGCGTTGAGAGCACGCATGTGAGGCCGCTACGGGTGCACGAAACGAGCGAAGGAGACTACGATCGGACAATGGCGATCAATGCCAAGGGCGTATTCCTGGGGTGCAAGTATGCGATCAGGCAGATGCTGAAGCAGGAGCTAGTGGAGGGGAGAGGGGGGGATAGGGGGTGGATTGTTAACACGGCGAGCACGCAGGGGCTGGTCGCGTATTATGGGACGCGTGAGTCACTGTAGGATGGGTTTGGGGATGAGAGGGAGGCTGATTGAGAGATGACAGCTTCGTATTGTGCATCCAAGGGAGCGGTGGTGCAGCTCACGAAGCAGGTGGCCGTGGACTACGGACCGGACCGCATCCACTGCAATGCGCTGTGCCCAGGCTGTGAGTCACTTTCCACCCGCCAGAGTGATCGGCTGATATGTGATTTGCAGTTCTCAGGACGACCATGACGCAGAACATCCAGAGCGATCCTGAAGCCCAGCGAGCAATCGATGCCGCACACCCCCTCGGGGGCATGGGTAACCCTGAGGACGTTGCCCGCGTTGCCGTCTTCCTTGCCAGTGATGACGTGCGGTGGATGACGGGTGTTCCCCTGCCTGTTGATGGCGGCGCAGTTTGCTTATGAGGTTACCATCCATGGGCAGTTTCTAGGCAGCAGACCGGTCGTCAGAAGACGTCCGGCTCCAGTTACATGCCTTGATTCCTGAATAGTGTCGGGTCCATGTAGTGGAGACTTCCGGTATCAAAGAGCCGGAAAGCTGCCATTAATAATCCTGCTGAAGGTCAAGAGTTGTCGCTGGTCGAGCGTTGGCGAAGTGACGAGATATGGTATCGGGATTTTCGTAGCCACCGGTTCGTTCATCGGTAAATCTTTAAGGTGCTGTGACATACGTGATTAGCAAGATAATCCAGGAGCTTACGGAATGTTCATAAGTCTCGGATGGTTGGTGTGCTCCCCAAATATTACAGTGTACGCCTGATCCAAAACGCTGGACCATAACCTTGCGGTCAAGCCAACAGCGTTCGTTGCTTCGCATGTTCCGGAAGAGAGAAAGGATTGACACCTATCCCTACGGGATGTAACAGAGTGATCGCGGGGCAATACACGGTTGTCTAGACGATATATCTGACGTGCTGGCAAAGGTATCAAGTTATAGCGAGCATGGCTTACCTGACCATTGCTTGCTCTTTCGTCTCCAGATGACCACGCAAACTACCGCCTGTCTTAACATCTGACACGGCCATCACCGCACGTACGATGTTGCGGCAAACTTCGGAGCGGCTGTTGTCTAGGATGGCCGTCAACCGGAGGCTTTCGAGCGAGTCAGCCTTGTTGCAGCGATTTCGGCTTTGATAAAGCCGCAGCAGTGCTTCTACGTCGAGAATGGAAGTGCTCATGGATCCTCAGATCCTTGTAGGGCGGTTGTACGGGCGCCGGCGTGGACGGTGATGTCGGAATGTGCGAGATGTGTCACGCATCCGGAGTTCACCGGCGGTGACGGTCGATTGTAAAAGAAAGCTCGGACAGCATGTATCCAAAAGGCCTCAATGGTTGCGCTCAGTCAACGCCGCCTGGTTTCGTTGCACAATGAGAACAGCCACAAACAAGGATTCGTTGAAAGCGGAAATGAGTGATATGGATGAGGCGTTGGGGGAAACGACGAATGAGAGAGGCAGTGGATCATCCAATGCTTGTGTTGTATCGTAAACGTGGAGCACGTTCATTTGCTGTTGAAGGACGCTTTAATTGAGAACGCAAGGAAGCCGTCAAGGATGAGGCACAGAACTTGCGAGGCGCGGCTACTCCGTGCTGTCTCTCTATGGTAAACTCATTTACTTCACGTCAGCAAGACGCGGTCCTTCGGAACGGTAGTTTACGCTCTTCGCTCCAGTTCTCATGAGGTTGCCCAAATTTGGAAGAAATTAACGATCAGGGGGAAAGCCCGACATCGAGCGTTATGGTAACCTAACGATCAGCACAGGCTGCAGTCCGCAGCACTCATCTATTTGAGTCTTTAGTAATAAGCGGATGTAGACTCCAGCTGCATATGCAGAGTACAGGCACTTGTCGGGATGCTTGCAAACAGAGTCCTGCGGAGGTGCTTTGGTTTGTCTGGTGAGGGAGAGACGGAACCGCTGCGAACGGACACTACAGAGTTGAATCCACGCATCGGCCAAGGCAGAATACATACAGAAAATGAATGAAACGACTACGGGTATCGGCTATGCCGCTGTAAGAAGGCTGGTGTCGGAACTAAGATGCGGGGCGGCTAAAGGGCATTCGATGCTGCTGATAGAACTGCAAGCACGTGTGGGAAGGCGAAGGATGAACCACGCAAGCGTAGGGCTGAAGAACCCCTGGGTGAAATTGGTTGACCTGCATTAGCGCAATCTGAAGTGGCAGATCACCCGTGGATCGATCTTGGAGGATAAATCAACCTCACTCATATCCGTGAAACATGGCCTTTGGCCATTTTGCTGTGTCTGCAGACTGCAACTGCAAAGATTGTATCATATCAACATGCCGACAAGTAATAAATTTGCCATGGGTCATCCCAGGCCGTGCCCCTGTCCAGTCCATCTGCCAAGGCCTCAAATTTGAATGAGATGTAGAGATGCAGATGTACTTCTGGAAAGCCGTTTCATGCCAACCAATTTGATTTCATCCCTCCCCAGAGACCCGCAACGAGGTGGATACAATGGCGAGGGAGCTTGCGCTCCCCGCCCTCGAAGGTCTGGCGCTTTAAGAGAGCGGGCGACCAGCTTCGAAGACTCGCGGTTGTCCATGAACGAGAGAGGACACCGCTAGAACTGCTCACGCCTAAGAAGGACCTACGCTGAGCGAGTGCGCGAAAGGTACCATCAGAGACTTGCGAAGCCCATCAATGAAGGGGAGCGACGCTACGAGACTTGAATGCTATCCAGTTCTTACTAACATATCTCAGGGACAAGCGAGCGCCCAGTCGACAGTTTTCAGAAGCCTCCAGACTCGCCCAGATGAGGACTTACAACGCGGAATCACCCACGATATTTACTGCCTCGGGCTACACTCTGAAGAGGGCTTACAGCGTGGCATCACCCACGACTGACTGCCTCAGATAGACTTTCCCCAGAAAAGGACTTACAGCGCGGCAGTGCCAACGATACTGACTGCCTTATGCCCATGCGAGGACTTACGACGCGGCAGTGCCAGCGGTGTTTACAGCCTCGGGCTACAACCCCACAGAGAAGGACTTACAGCGTGGAATCACCCACGATACTTACTGCCTTCAGAAGAGGACTTACAACGTGGCAGTGCCAACGGTATTTACAGCCTCGAGCCGACACTAGAAGCGAGCGTCTTCGGGTGTTACCCCTACTAGGACTCGTGGTTAATAACCCATCCTCCACCCGTTCGAAGCCTTTCAGGTGAACAAGCGAATGTCACCGTCCACGCCTTAGTGAGTGTGTAACGAGTCCCACCCAAGCTTCGCACTCCCCGAAGCCCTACTCAGAGCAGCGTCGCGCCAGGCCATCCGAGAGGTCACTGGGCAGATCACCGTCCTTTCACGCCCGCCGCACCGGATGGTAGCGACTTGCACCAGGACGTTCCAAAAGGAACAGTCACCGGGCTCTTGGCTGCGGGAAATGTCCCACGAGGACAGGACACCACCACGAGGGCGCCATGACGCCACCACGAGGACGTTCAACCCAACCTTGATATCCCGGCCCTCGAATCCGCCACTCCTCCCGCCTCCCGATTGTAAGCTGTCCGGCTGCCCCGATGTTTTGGCTGTCCGGCTGCCGGTACGGTTCCGAATCCGTTTGACTGGTAACTGGTTATCGGAACCGTCCGATGGTAAGCTTTCCGGCTGCTCTGATGTTTAGGCTGTTCAGCTGCCCCGATGTTTTGGCTTTCCGGCTGCCCACCCATCACCACCTTATGTCGACACCACCGTGGCGACCGACACGAACCGCACCTTCCGGATGACCGTAGGATGGCCGACGGCTTTACGAGCGGTACCAGGCGACTTTGGCGAATGTCTTGCCGGCCTCAAGTATGCTGGGTCGTAGGGTCCAGAGCCAACCAGAGCGCGGTACTCCGCCACGCACTCTGCTTGGTGAAACCCCATGGGCAACCCAGTCAGAGGATCCTTGATCCTCAACGACGCCTGGTATTGTTCCGCCGTAAATTTGACCCGTCCCTCCGGCAATGGCTCTTCCGGACCGATAGTGGACGCCTTCCCAATCGACGGATAAATCGAACTTGCCGCATCCTCCTCATGAACAGGACAGATGGCTGGTCCGTCGCAGACCACCTCCACCACAGGCTTGCGCCGGGTGATACGGCGCTTGATAGCCTTGGCGGTGGTCTTCAGCAGTTGGCGAAGGCAACCCATATCGATCTCTAGGATATTGTCAGTGGTGGTTTCTCCAAGCCATGGAGCGCCGACAACTTACCGTGTGGTGCTGGTAGTGGTAGTTCGGTGGTGATGGTCGTGAGATAAGAATGCTCTTACAGTATCGTTAGTGGTGAGTCTCCAAGCATCTTCGCGGCTCAGAACTTACCACGAATATTGATGATGATTCTTTTTGATGATGATAATAGCGTATAAAAGCTTTTGTGCTATTGGCGACGGTTAGCTTTCAAGCAGGTAGGCGAGTCAAATTCGGTTCAAGTCACTAGTGTAGTTTGGATAGGAGGGCGTATGTGCTTACAAAAGTTTGCTGTCCTGTTCACAAGGTTTCCCTGGTGAGTTGCAAGAGGGAGGAAAACAAGCGCGGGGAGATGTTGGTTTCTGTCTCCAGGGTCTGCTTACACCCTGAACACAACAACCGGGTTACCATGCTGGATGTGGAGTCTCCACACTACGAACCATAGATCGCTTCAGCTTACTCAGGGTCCAGAGCTCGCCGATACCACTGAAGGAAGGCGTGTCCGGATTCGGCAGTGGCCCTCTATCAGCTTCAACACACCGCCATGCATAATTCCCTCTGTAACACGAGCCATGCATGTCGTACTCTTTATGTGTTGTGTCTCATCTGTAGCTACTGTCGTCCGTCACTTGCAATTACTGAAGCCTGTTTGGAACCGACCAGAGGAGAGCAGCGTAAGAGGAATTTATGTATGAACATTGCCACAGGGCGCAGCCTTGTTTGGAGAACGAGTTTGGCAAAGGTATGAGCATCGTTGCGATCTACCTAGGTATAATATTTACAATCTCAGCTTGAGTTTACATAGAACCTGCCGAACGCCATCCGCTATGCTACGCTCCCATCCTCAGAACGCCCACCATCAGATCAGAACCCTTAAAATAGTCCGAGCACACCTGAAGCCATGCGAACCGGAAGTCGTAACTCTCTGTCACTGTCACCGCTCCGGGATATCCCACCCTCCATCCACGTCCTCCAACTCATCACTATCCCAGCCATCCTCCTCATCGTTCCGGACCATCTGCAGAAAACGCTGCAGGCCGACACGTGGTTCTGGCGGTGCTGCTGCGTTTGCAGCAGCGGGGGCAGCAGCCGGAGCTGGATCGCGCTGCCGCCGCCGAGGTTGTGGTGGTTGTGGTGCGGGTCGCTGGAGGCGTCTGTCGAGAGCCTGGCGCTGGCGGATATCGTTCCACAAGTCGTTTTCCAGTTCGGTCGCTTCGTCCAGCTGCATCTGCTGCAGCGCGACAACGGGCGGCGGATCATCATCTGTGCGGGGCGGCCGCGGCGCTTCCGGCGGAACCCCTGGTGGTGCAGGCCCGTCCCGATTTTGGTCCTGGTTGCCCTGAGCTGCATCTGCCTCGTTCGCCGCGGCGATTGCGGCTTCCCAACCGCGCGCGCCATCGAAGTGTACTTCGCCATTCCCCTCGTCCCCGCCTTCCAGTTCCCAGAGGCGCATGTAGCAGCCCTTGTCCGGTTGGTTGAAGTGCTGATACGGGTTTCCTGCGTCGAGCCACGCTCCACACAGATAGCAAAAATGAGTACGGCACTGGAAGCAGTTCATGTGGTTGCATCCCATCGTCTTCTGACAAGGTGACGAGCATGTCGGGCAAGGCGAGGTATGCAGACGGATGTAATCGTAGGATGCCTTTTCTTCTTCTGTGAGCTCGGTATTCGAGCGCGGCCAGCAGCGTACGAACTCGCCGTGCCAGCCGCTCAGGCACACACGGCAGAAGGCGTAGTTGCAGTCCTCGCAGATGCGGAGACGGTCCGCCGAAGGTGGCAAGTCCTTTGGTTCATTCTTTGGTGGTGTTTCAGTCTCGGAATCGGAGTCAGATTCGACGATTTGCGAGAGGTTCGTGACTTTCGGATACTTTTTCGAGCGGGCAGGTCCTTGGCACCAGGTGCGAGGGCAGTAGACAGTTGTCTTATCGCTCTCCAATTTCTTCTTACGCTTGAGTTCCACGTATCGCTGCACTGCGGTTCTCTCGAGCGGGATCTGCAGCAACTCGCTCGGATTCAATGTCCGCTCGCGTTTCTTTTTGCGCTGTGTTGATTGAGCCGTGTTGCCACGCCTGTCTTTTCCACAGTCGGGTGCAAGGCATTTGATACTCGCCACGTCACCTTCTGTGATGGCGTTGTTGTAGAAGTCCTGTAGACATGGCACGCAAAAGACGTGTCCGCAGCGCACCATGCGATGACAAGACGATCCCTTCTTCGGCTCTAGGCAGACTCCGCAGTCGAACGTCTCCTGCTCGAACTTCTCGCGCTTGGCTTCGATGTCAAAGTCCAGCAGCGCGATCTTCATGTCCTGTGCCACCTCCAACATACCTCCCGCACGCTCCGCGAGGTCGAAGCCGCGCTCTGCCGCTTGCTGAAGGTAGTCGATGTACGCGAAGACCACTTGCCCATGGCCATACTCTTCCCACAGTTCGGCGCATTCGGCTTCCAGGTTCCGTGTTACATCTTTAGGTAGCCATGCTGGTGATGTGCTCAGCTGCACTTGTGGCGCTTTCTCAGCTGGGTAGCCCGCGGGCAGTATTATGTGTAGACGTAGGGGAGGTAGGTATGACAGGTGGCGAATCTCCCACGGAGCTGCTGCAGAGGCTTTTCGTCCTTCATTATCGGAACCAGGTGGCGTGAGTAGGTTGGACAGCGGAGGCGCGCCGTCGACGGGGAAGGGGAAGACGACGGTCAGTGGCGAGGCGGGGGCAACCGGAAGGTCGATAGTGGCTTTGAAGGGATTCTTCTCGTCAAGGACAAGCTCGGGGAAGATTGCGGTTATAGCAGAGAGCTCTTCTTCTCGTTCATCTTCTTGATTGGCCATGGACCAAGGCCTTGAGGTGCGGCGGGGGATGTAGATTACTGCGTGGCAAGTAAGGGAAGTGTGAGCCGTGGTAAGAGGTCACAGTGAAGTTCAGGAGTCAAGGTGAAGGAGCGGACGAGAGACTCGTATTAGTTGTAGTAAGAAGAAGATGCAAGAAACTTTTTGAGTGACTCTGCGGGTGGCGGAGTCATGATATTGTGAAGGTGAGTCGCCGGATGACGGCAGAAATCCAGGGTCTAGTACGGCGGCCCGTTCGACCAAAGACGAAACCACCACGCCAGCCTATCTCGACTGCACATGCCGCATGTGACAACTTCCTCACTTCCAGGTCTTTTGAGGGATTCTCGGCCACTACAATGGAGGACCCTCCTCTCGCGTCGCTATCTTTGACACATGTCAACTATGTACGTACATCGCTTGCAGCGCGCTACAAAATGGCTCATCTGTAACAGAATCCCGACGACCGCCTCTCCTACCTCTGCGCATGGCTCGCCCTCGTCCCCCAAGGCCTCTGTATCACCTATGCAACGCTCGTCTGGTCGACCCGCGAGGTCGAGGTCCTGCTCATGTTCACCGGCCAGCTAGCGTGCGAAGCCCTTAATTGGTGCCTGAAGCGCTATATCAAGGAAGAGCGGCCGAGGCGTACGTCCCCACACACAAGCCACATTTGCCCGCCGAGTGCCCCAAACTATAGTGCTAACCGGTGCATCGGCGACACAGAAATGAACGGGAAGGGCTACGGCATGCCCTCCTCACACGCCCAGTTCGTCGCCTTCTTCTCCGTTACCCTCGCCCTCTTCCTCCTATTTCGCCACATACCACACCCAACTCAGACACACACACCCATCACATTCATTGAACGCGCCCTCCTCGCCCTCATCTCCATCCTCGGCGCTGGCGCAGTCGCTTGGTCGCGCATCTACCTCAATTACCACACCCCGCAGCAGGTGCTCGTTGGGTGCGCCGCCGGGGCGGGCTTTGCGGGCGTGTGGTTTGTTTTGACTTCGTATCTGCGGAGAGCAGGATGGATAGATTGGGCACTGGATATGGCGCCTGCGCGGGCGCTGCGGTTCCGGGATCTCGTCGTGCAAGAGGATCTGGTGGATGCTGGGTGGGCGCGGTGGGATAGTCAGAGGAAGAAACGGCTGTTAAAGCCAGAGAAAGACAGGTAGCAGCATTGTTGCGGTGCATGATACGGAATAGAAAGATCTATGTGCTTAAGAAATTATAGCATGAGCAGAGTCACTTATACAATCTTAATTATATAAGTACACTATTGTCAATACGTTATCTGCGGATATAAGTGTAGTCATATCTTATTCCGTCAATAGAGTCTCAGAATATATCCCAGTATATAGCCAATCCTCGAACTTAGCCGCCACAAATAGTATGCGAAACATTGTAACTACTGGCAGTGGTTTTGGCGGCGGCAGGTGAAAGTACAGTTTCTGGATGTCTACGCAATCTCACATGCGCCGGACTCCTGCCATTGCACTCGTCTAGATGTTGGCGCAAGATACACCGAGAGAGTCGCGGTAACGAGATATCTTGAAACTGTCTTAAACACAACTCTACTGACATGGGATTTCAAGCTTTCATTTCCCCTAGCACAACCTATCCAAATCCTTTCAGCATGCGTGACCTCTATCTTCTCTGGCTTGACGCCGGCAGCCCTCTCCTCGTCCTCGATAGCCTCTCGATAGCCTCCGCATACGCTGCCCCTTCCTCCGTGGCGCTACAATTTGACGGATGTAGCCGCTGATACTAACAGACCTCTCAATAGCTGTCCCTACCCTCTGTCGTTACAAAAGACTGCTCTATATGATACTCTCATTAGGTACAACATTTTATTTCTGTAGTGTCGGCAAGTCCGTCACCGCTTTAGTTTTCATTTTGGCGACTACATTAGCTTGTATGCATGTGCGGACGGAAGTGTCGGGTAGCTCCGAGTACATAGTTCCCTCGCTGCTGGGACGATGCGACCAAACATCCGGAACACGATACCTAATACATATGTATTTTTCGTGGCTTGCCTATCTTGCGCTGAGTCTCAGCTGGATATGGTGCATCCTTTAGGTAGCCCCGTGGGGAAACACTAGGCCGCTAACAACTACAGTATCCAGCGGCCGGCCTAGTTATTACAAGTAGCCGTGCCGCTCCACCACCACGTCCGCAGGACGTGCCGAGCAGCCAAATATCATTTAGCAGCCAAACATTACTTTCACACAAACGCGCTATACAAAAAATGTCAACTCCACTATATTTAGTCTAAGAAGATTTCTTCTTTAACTACATAGCTTATAAGATATAGTATTATTAATCTACACTTTATTTTACCTATAGGTAGTGACGTAGTTAGTGTGGAAGAACTCTTAGGTGGTATTACTTTTATATAATTTTCCTTACCAGAAATATAGTGACGCTTAGCTGCTAAATGATGTTTTGCTGCTCGGCACGTTCTGCGGACGTGGTAGTGGAGCGGCACGGCTAGGTATCTGTCGCGCCATTATGGTTGATGGCTTGCATGTGTACAAACATAGAATGGATTCAGCTCAGCTGCTACTGTCGCTTGCAAAAAGTGCGGCCGTTTAGAAATGAACTCCATCCATCCCTCCTCCTCTCGATTGTTAAAGACCAAAACCACGTTTTACACAGCAATGTAACGCTTAGGTTATAACTTAATACTATCAAATGATGCAGCATAGCTATAGCTATTTAGTTATAAAGAATAGCAGCGCTATAATGCTAAAAATTGTGGTGCACTTGGTTTTCTTCGAAAGCCCGCCGCGCACGTGGGTAGCGGCGTGTAGGCTTTCGAAGAAAATCAAGTGCACTATAGAATCACATATTTTAAAGACTAAGAAGAGTAGTAACGCTATGCAGCTGCTAATCTATTAATCATTAGATAGCTGCAGCTGTGCTGCATCCTTTAAGAGTATTAAGTCATATCCTAAGCATAGAATTGTTATGTAAATGTGGTTTTGATCTTTGACATTCGAGGGGGGGGGTTGGATGGAGTTCATTTCTAAACGGCCGCACTTTTTGCAAACAGCAGTAAAAGCCACAACCCTGTAGAGATCCGCGGTCTGCACGATTCTAACGACAATCCACTGTGGACCCAGACACGCTACGACCGACACTCAGCCAGCCTGAAAATTACGCCTCCGGTCCAACTGGTAAAAGCTTAAGAGCTTTTAGCCTAGCTTTAGTCTTGCTTGCGTTGTGGCGCGTTACATTGTACCAAGTTGTATTCTTGATGTTCAGCCTCACATTTCAGCCAGCCTCAGATACCTGTACGGTGTACACCTTGCAAACAGCTGCATCTCAGCTACTCTCCTGCAGTTAGGTATCCCATCTTCTCAGCTCACACTTTCTACGCCGCATTCTGCTTGCGTGATGGGGTACTATCGCCTTGACATTGTGATGTTTTCGTGTGCTTGCCTTAACTATAAAGCAGGTGCTCGCCTTCTTCTCACCTCTAGGCTCTACTTATCTTCACAACAACATCTTCCTCAACAGATCCATTCAAGTATTATCTCATCAGCTTCTGCTGTCAAAATTCCCGAGTCCTTTGGTTCTTTCATCCACAAACGTAAAAAATCAAACTTCTAAGCCGAAACGCACCGTCAAGCCATTCATAATGCACTTCACCCGAGCTGCTGTTCTCGCCACTTTGGCCACCCTCGCTCTTGCAGCACAGACTATTTTGGAGACGTCAGGCAATGATGTTCTCACGGTTGTGCGTTGCCAAGCTGCTCCCTCCTGTTCAGCTGTCACCGACAAAGGCATCCCCAACTGCGTCCTCGATATTTCAGACGTTGCCTCCGCCGCCGAGTGTCTGAGCGACTGCCAGGCTGACTCCCGCTGCAAGTCTTTCGGCGTTTGGCCCGGCTATCCCAGCGGCCTCAAATGCGCTACTTACGCCTACACGATCGAATCGAACCCCTGCACTTCTCCTCCGTTCTCTTCCACTGGCAGCCTCTACGACGTCGCAGGCTGTTCCAAGTACTGCAGTGGAGACATTGACGTCCCGGCGCCCAATTGTGTCCTTCAAGTCGTCGGAACGGTCTCTTCCGATGCGGATTGCATCAGCCAATGCAAGTCGTACAGCGGTTGCAAGAGTGTCTCCACTTTCACGCAGTGGAACCAAGGTCTTACTTGCTATCTCTATGCCGACCTCATCGAGGAGCACCAATGCTCCAGCCCCCCTCTCTCTCAGAATGCCAACCTCTACGATGTCGCTGGATGCCCGTAGAGCGTCTCCGCGCGTAACAGGAGGAGGGGATCACGTAATGCTATCATGTTCTGATGAGTCGCTCGTTACGATATTTGTTGTTCAGTTTGATCTTTTTGCACCTTACTCTTAACCACTCTCTACTGTCTCCTACTTGCACTTGCCCTTTGTTTATCTACATTTTATGTTCTCTCTATATAGTAGCATGGTGGCTTGATTAGTCAACTTATATTAGCGTGGGCGAGACGCTTGTATATCTTGTATATACTAGAGATTATGTTATCAAGCGTAGCCGGTCTTTGTGATTTAGTAAGATCTGGTATCATCTTAGTTTAGTCTAGTTGCGCATCAAAGTCCCAACTACGATGATGCTAATACAAGAGTTTTACATAAAAGATGAGAGAAGTAGTTCGGAGTCTCCGAATAACAGAGTGACAATAAGGCGTTCTAAGAGGTTCTGTGTAAAGTGATTAGGTATCTCTATTCGCAGATAACGCTATACCCCCTTCTTTATTCTCTTCTTTATCACGAACCACGGTCGGAGGAGGCAGAGGCCGGAATTAAGGAGGTGATCAGTACTAAGTATCACGTAGCAGACTCGGCCTGATGGAACCCCATAGGCAATCCGGCCCGTGGCTCGTCGGTAGCCCTGTCTCTGACATGAATCTTTCCATCAACGGTGACCAAAAGGGAATATTCTCCACTCCCCAGTTTTGTAGTGACCCTGTGTACAAATGCGCGGAGAGAGCAGCAGACAAGAAATGGAAAGAGGGGCTCGCAAGGCGGGATTGAAGTCCGCTGGAACTGAGGTCCCGATGGCGCGACGATAGGAAACCCAGAGCACGGTACTTGGAATATCAGACACGTCCTCGGAGTACCAGAGCCCATTGGAAACCCCAGTTTAGTGCTGTTTGATTCTTAACCGCCTGTGTACCCTGTAACGGGATGGGTTCATCCTCATCGCAAGGGTTTTCCAGGTCCAAGCGGAGTGGTCATCCCAATCGACGGATTGATGCTCGAAAATCGGCATCGAACGAGGAGGTGGTGATTAAGAAGTCTGAGGCGTTTCTGCTTCCCCATCCATGTGGATTGAGACCGCGATGAGAACATGCCGAGCTTTTGTCGAAGATCAGCTTTTGACCGCGTATCCGTGCTGCTCCAGTTTTCGGGCTGTTCGGCGTCCAGCAGGCGCGGCTCAAGAGCGTGGTGGGGTGGAGGTGCAGGTGTACCCCAAGACCTTGACTATCCCCCAATCGGCTGGCCGGTCTGCATGTGGCTTGATCTCAGAGAAGCGCCTCAGGAAGTCTGAGATCCGTTCCCTCTCATCCTCGTGCCACCTCTCCAAATCCTCCGTATATTCTAGGAGAAGACCGAGCTCTCCGAAACTGAGCCGGTTGATGCTGTAGACGCGGACTCAACAGAAACGCTCTCCTCGCGAGCAGTGACTGGCGTGGCGAACCGGACCCGGGCCACTACTGGACTCCGACGCCGCCTCCTCGGTCAATGGTGGCGTAGTTGTCGCGTTGTCCTGCATGACAGGAACAACGACCTGACCGTCACATGGACGATCTTTACAGTTTCTGGCCCGCGGACCTCTCGAGCTTGATCGAGTAGCCATCAGATCCGACTCTCTGCAAGGCATTGGCATCCTCGCATCCCTCGAGCGTCATCTCGTGAAGTCGGAAGCAACGGACCAAGATTGCTTGACAACAGCGCCGAAGTTATTGCTGCTTGAAGGATGCCGGAGTAGATCTCAAAGGAGCGAAGCCGGCAGTCCTGCTTCGTGTCTCTGGTGGTCTCTCTCCCGTTCGAGGCGGAGCGCAGGTTTCGGGTAAGTGTAGTAGTGGCTACCATAGGCTTACGCCGCATAAGATAACGCTTGATGGCCTTAGCCGCACACTTGATCAATGGTCGGAGACAAGCCATACTTCCTGGCAGGAGAAGCTGTGATATTGTTAGTAGTACTCTCCAAATCATTGAGCGCCAATAACTTACCGTGTCGGATTGGTAGTAGCGGATTGAGGATTCCTCCACTCAGTACTGAATTCCCAGGTCGAGCGATATAACCGTGTTACCACTCCGATCGACGGCGGTCCAGCTGCCTTCTCAGCAATAAAGCTGTGGGCAGCAAAATATAGCCCACTCTTTGACCTGAATGCGGTAAGTGGTCCTGGCTCGTGAATCGTGGCAGCTTCAAGGTGGCGCTCCCAATCCAGAGCCTCGGTATCTCAGATAGAGAGCGAGCTTCTCCAGCCTAAGCTGGCCGATGCTGAGACCACCAACTTTGATGAAATTATCTCTTGATAGGCGACTGGCCTGGAGCAGAGTTGGCAAGCAGATATCCTGCTGCGGTGAGGCTACCTTCTCGATTGGCGGATGGGGTAAGGTGGCCGCGTCATCCCTCCGGGAGTAACTACCGCAAAGTCGCAAGTGTTGGTCATCGTGGGCTTGGGCATCGTGGAGAAACGCTTGATGGCTTTGGTCAGACAGTTGGCCAAGGGAATGGTATGCCGAACCAATTGGTGGGGCAAGCTGTGATCTTGTCAGTAATAAACTCTGGAGCCGACAGATGGTGGAATTTACCACGTGGTGGTGGTGGTGGTGGTGGTGGTGGAGGATGCCGCATGATCGGAATGCGCAAGGCCTCCTGGGTATCGCCAGTGATGTGTCTTGAGTAGAATAAATGCGCGAGCGTTACCATACGATATCTAAAGCGGAAACTGTTCGCGATGGTGGAGTGTGGTTGGACGTAGATGATGAGAGTTGAGAGACCTCAAGAACTGTTAGCGGTGAGCTTCCACGCAGTTGAATGCAGACAGCTTACCGTACCAAATACGGTGATCGGAAGAGCAGCGAGGCAGCCCTAGCAATGTCAACAGCAAGTCCAACCGGCCAGGTATCCATAACTTACCGAAGGCAGGCCATGCTGTATCAGTAGAACGACACACCAGGAACGTGTATCATCGACCAAGCGGAGGCGTGCATGACTGATTCGGGGGAGTGGCCAGATCATGTTCGAAGGTTGGGTGCTGTACTAGCCGGACTCCGTGGAAGCTCTAAGATTACGTCATCGATTCATGGAGAGGTTGCTGAGTTGGACGAGATTCTGATGGTCGGCACAGTCGGCGGGTTTGGTCCATTAGGAGGATTGAGGGAACTTTGGGAATGATATGCAGGCGTGGTGGAAAGAGAAAATAACAACGGTGGTGGGGCAAGGTACAACAGCAAAGGCTGTTGATGCGTGCGTCCTTCAGATTTTACGGGCAAGACGCGCGGTACGGTTCCCCTAATCTAGTAGCAGCGCCTCGACGGCTGCCAATACTATAGTAGGGAAGTGCCAATCGTCGCTTAAGGCTCGAGGAATTGTCCGTACCGAGTGAGCGGCTATTTGTACATGTGGCAGGTGGAAGCTGATAGGCGGTGCAGTCTCACTCGCTGTGACCTGATAACTGCCTGATAGCGATGGTAGAAGCAGTTCCTGGCAGGGTGGGTACGGGAAAGCTCGAAGGAAGAAGCGGGCTCTGAGGCGCACCAGTGCTCAGACAGCTGCCCGGGCGTGCTTTGTGATCCTGTCTCGACGGGTCGCTGAATCACTTTGTAGAAGGTGTTGGATAAAATGGTGTGAAGAGAGCTGATGTCATCCAGCGCATGGGCACTTTCCCACATCTTACTCCAGCTGCTCAGGGTAACTTGCGATTGTCTTGACAAGACTCTCGCACAGCTCCGAAGTCCCTAGTGCTGGTCCAGCAAGTGAGGTCTCGCTCGAAGAGTTTAACTGGTAATCCTGCTACAAACTCGATAGAGAGACCGCGGGGATGCCGTCCGATGGCATACCCAAGGTGCTCAAGGGAAATCCACAGTGGCGCGACTATCCACCAGCCAGGTTCTTTACAGCATGGCCGGGAAAGCTGCTGGTTCGAGCAGCTTGATAGAAGGCGCTGATTGGTGTTGACTTGCGTTCGAGTCATGCTGTCCGCTAAAAGTTGCCTGCATGCGAGATTATGCCGCTATGCATGCCTTAATAGCGGTGCACAATGCTTGACAGCCCATCGAGAGACGATGCGGATGTAACAGGCCGCGGCAATCCTGAGTGAGACAGCGCCAAGCACGGATCCCATCTGTAGTTTACAGTGCCAGTCCTTACACGTCATGTAGGGATAAATAGAGTTGACAAAGCATTGATGTCGAAGACGGACTGTTGAACTGACCTTCTGGAATTGCTTCAAGCATTTCGATGGAAATAATCATGTTCGGATGAGCTAGCGAGCGCAAAATGCAGCTTCAAACAGAGGAGCAATGCAGTCCAGTGGTGATATTGTGAGTGCGTCTGATTAGGTGGAGAGGTGTAGGGCAAGACAGCCGCAGACTGCATAGTGTTGGGCCTGGAAACTTGGAGAGCGGAAATGACTTAGAAGCAGGCAGACTACGAAGGGCATGGATATTTGCAGCTTTGATACTCTTTTTCCGGAATATCCCAAAATCTCAGCGTCACGATAGTGCAGGGCATTTCCTGCCTGCGAGAGCCCTTTTGCAACACCATTTTAATGTATAGTAGAGACTTCCATCTTCTTTCCGTCAATCTTGCCGCCGTGAGCGAGTATCAGAACGCTCGTATGGGGATCTACTCCTACGTTTGCGGCGTCGGTCGGTTCTATCTCGTGAGTCCGAACGACGCCCATCATGGTGGTGTCTGTGGGGCAGCTCATCATCCCTTCGATAATCTCTGCTTCGTGACCTCCGCCTTTCCCTGTCTCGGGAGCGTGAGCGCGACCTGTGTCGCCGATGGCTGTCCCTCTCCCGATGTCGTGAGCGCGACCTTGATCTTCTTCGCCGCCGTCGGTCGGTGTCTTCGTCAGGTCTTGCTCTTGACTTTCGTTCCGCTCGTCGGTCGTCACGCTGTTCTCTCCCATCAGATGGCCCTACTTTCGCCGCCCTTTCTCCACTCAGGACTTCCGCTTCCGTCGCGCCGGGACCCGGCCGAGGATTATAACCTTTGTATCCAACACCCTTGCCGCCTTCATCCTCGTCGCCTGCTGTCGCCTCTGCAATTGCCTTTTTGACATCTGCCTCACTAGCCGCACCTCCCAAAGGCGCCATATTGGGGTTGTTCCTCTCCTTGACGGGCAAGCCCAGCGCTGCGGCCATGGCGTCCTCTTCCGCTTCCTTGATTCGGCGTATCTCCTCGGCGCGGGCATCGGCGGCAGATTGGCCGGAGTCGCCTTTGGCGTACCAGTTCAGGTCTTTGTTCTTTTGCCAGCGGCCAACAGCTGGGAGACGCTATTAGCGAGTGCAGGTTGAGGAGAACGGCATGGAGCTCGTACGAGCCATCAGCGAGTGGCCGAGATAGTTCTCGCGGTGCTGGTCTGCTTTGACATCTTCCCATTTGAAGTCTGTACGGCCGCCCCTTTGGTAGAAGAATGTTAGCACGTGGCAACCTTCGGTGGTGGGGGGGACAACTACCGGCTGCCTTCCTTACGGACACTCTGTAGCAAGTCCATGATGACTGCGTGATCGCCTTCCTGGCGACCAGGCGAAAAGAAAGGCCGTAGTCTTGCTTGGTAGCTAGGCAAGAGTGCTTAGAGATACTGTGATGTGCTTCCGAGTTGTAGTGGTTCCAGACAAATGTGGTGATGAAGCGCGAAGGAAACGCGGCGGATGCCGCAAAAAGCGATCGGTGACGGCGGGACGGGCCGTGAAGTGGAGCCTCAGGGTTCAAGGGTTCTGCTCTGCAAGGATCTCATCACCGAAGCTTCAACACAGCTTGAAACCGTATCAGCACCACATTAACACCCCACACAACACAATGGCCCAAGCAATACAAGGCCCTCTCGATGAGACCGTTTTCAGCGACCCCGGCTGGGCCGTCCGTAATGGCTGGGGCTGCCTGCACATCAACTCCATCCTGCATTACTTCGGCTCCTCGCCTTTCATGGATCCCACCTCCAACAATCGCGTCCTCATGGTGCAGGCGCAGAGCAACCAGGACACCTGGAACAGAATCATCGACTACCAGCGCTTCGAAGCCACGCTCCGGGGCATGCAAGGCATCGAGTACGTCGTCACCGGCACGCCGCAGCAGCTCAACGCCCAAGGCGAAGACACCGGCATCTGGGTGATACGCAAGCAGAACCGGCGGAAGCGGCCCGGCGCGCAGGACGAAGTCACAACACTAGGGACCTACTACATCGTCGGCGAAAACATCTACCAAGCGCCCTCCGTCGGCGACGTCCTCAACCACCGCCTCCTAACCTCCACAACCGCCTTCTCCAAATTCGTCAGCCTCGCCTCCTCCCTCCCGCTCTTCACCCCCGCGACCGGCCACACCTACCTCCCCGCCACCTACAAACCCGCCACCAAAACCATTGACCCCGCCCGGAGCCGCGCCACAACTCCCGGCCTCGAGCCCCCGCCCTCCTCCCAAGCCAGCATCTCGCAGCCCGTCGCAGGCAAACCGACACCCAAAATCACCGCCACCGACGCCCGCACCCTCTTCGACAGCCTCGCTCTCTCCCTGCGCTACGGCCACGAATTCATGGACGAGAACCCGCTCAAGGGCGAGCCGGGCTCCTTCCACTTCTCCGCCACGAGCCAGGCCGTGTACGAGCAGCGGCTGCAGCGGGAGAGAGCTGCGCAGGCGGCGGCAGCGGCGGCTGCTGCTGCTGCAGCACAGTCTGCGCCGTCTACGCAGGGGAGCCAGCCGGGGAGTCAGGTTCAGAGCGCCGTGGGGACGCCGATGCGGGATGAGGGGAGGGATAAGCCGAGTCCGGGGCGGAAGGGGAGTGAGGGGAAGCCGAAGGCAAAGAGGAGGAAAAGCAAGGCGCCGACGAGTCCGAGTACGCCGATTGCTGCGTAGGGCGTGGAAGAGTGAGAGTGACGGGGCCGGTGGTCTGTTTGGGTGCTGCTAGTGTCGGATATCTTTGGCGGGATTTGAGGGCGCATCTATCGGCGTCTCAATCTCTCCTTCCTTTCGACTTGTCCCCGGCGATCGCATTGGCGGATTTGTGTTTCAGAGCGCATGATACCCAAGTTTTAGAGATACATAGCATCTCCGGCGCATTGCGAAAGCTACAATTTCCTTCTCGGATTATCAACCGTAGTGAATGCCTTAACTGGCCTCAGTAACCGGTTCCGTTGGTCAACCATGCCTCTAGCATTTACCGTATGCTACGTCTAACCTCTGATGTGTTGCTTCTAGTTCGGGCGACGGTGAACTGGCCTGTAGGTGAGACTGCCACCTACCACAGATGTAGCGAATACGATCACAGTTGTTACGTTGACTGTTTTGTACAATGCGAAGGACCAAACAACAGCTTACGGTAAACGAGTAGACAACCATTTTCAACAGATCGGATGATACACGCGCTGCCGGAAATGTAATCACCAGGCGATATCCTGAGCCCCAACTCCAACGTCCGTCTCTGATACGTATGAAATTCCCAAACCACAAGGTCTCCCAGAATCCCAACGAGGACGTAATACCAGATATGCAACGCCAAGAGCTACTCCCACTTGTGCCGGATGCCTCAGAAGCTCCTTCAATTTCTGTCGCAGTCGTCTCCGCCAAGAGCGTCACTTCTCGTACAGTTTCCTCCCATCAGGATTTCTTACTTCCGGGCGGGTGCTGAAGCATCAGCTTCACCATAAGCGGCGTACCAACCCCGTCTCGAACTGAGTTAGTGGATCTCAACACATCCACTGACTAGCACGCCGCTTTCCGTGCCCCCGGGCCGGGGCAGAAGAGTCTTGTTGCTTGTTTCTCTACGCAAAGGGACACGGCGTTCCGCCAGACCAGCTACATCCGTTGCAAGGAATCTAAGTGGCTACTCAGCTGCACGTATCGCATCCTTTCCTCTGATTTCGCTTGGCCGTTTCCTGTATAAGGTAAAAAGCCAGTACATGCATCGCTCGACTATCGCGTGCGGTGCGGGTCGCATTTTACTCATCCGCAAGGCAGCGAATTCACTAGCTGCGGAAGAGCGGCTCCGCATCGTCGTCTTACTCTAGCTTCAGTCATAATAGAGGAGGGCGGAAAGTCGTGGGGTGTAGAGCGCTTCTTCTCAGCAGCTGCCTGATGTGCGGCGGCTTGCACATAGGGGCGACTCTTGCCTTCGATAGCTGTGGCTTGAGGCGGCGTTCTTCATGCTATTGTTGCGGCCGGGCGGAGCGTAGAGGTGAGGGCCTGACCGCTCGCAGAACAATGTGCTGCAATGCTCGTCTGATGATACTCGCGCGGGGAGTGTAGCGGCTTAGAAGCCCGGGCGTTATCGCTTCTCCTTTTATTCCCGCTCTACCGTTTCACCCGTACGGCAGCGCAGGCGGTAGGGGGTTCCGATAGAGCCGTTTCGGATGACCCTGATAAAGTTGTGTTGAGAGATGAACGTTTCCAAACAATGGATCTTCTCGCTCCCCCGATAGTTCTATCTCTTGATAATATCTCTCTTGGTGAGCTTCCGCTCCTTTTCTGGCCGAGTACCTCTGAGTTCTGCATCAGAATCAAGATCGTCCCGGCGCCCTTGACCAGAGTTGCATCAAAACCATGATTGTGTTTCCGAATCCTTCCGCAACCGGAACCGTCTTGAGCGCTCGAAATGTCGTGTGTTCCAGGTCGTATGCCATTTCAAACCCCAGTCGCAACCACCAGCCCTACACTGCCTTACTCTCTCGTCCTCTTCCTATCCGTCCTCGGCCGCCCACTCGACCTCGCAGAGCTACTCCCCTGATCATCAACCACAAAGCTCACACTCGGCGTCTCCGCAGCCCCAAGCGCAGGTGCAGAGTCCCCATTGCTCGGCCGCAGCTTCTCCAGCTCCTCCTTCAGCTTCCCGTACTCCTGCCACATGTAACCGATCGCGATGGACAGGATTACCACGACGCCGATGAGCGTGAGGAGCAGCGGGAAATTGCCCGACACGGTCAGGTTGGGGAAGAGGGCGAGGGTTATGTTGTTGACTTGGGCGGCGGGGGCGGCTGGGGGGTGGGGAGGCGAGGAAGAGGCGACGGGGGCGCGGCTGGAGAAGGGGCGGGAGGACATGGTCGTGGGTTGAGGGCGTTGAGTTTGGCGAGGAGGGCTTGGGGATGTATGTTGATGGTGTTGTGTTGTGTTGTGATAGATGTAGGGAGAGAGGGAGATAGCAGCTCCTGGAGCCCTGGAGGTTTTGGTGTGGGCGGAGATAGGCAGCTGAGCCAAGCTAATCCCCGAGCGTCATCGGCTCCACCTGGGCAGAGACAGCCACGACAGCCACGACAGCCACGACAGCTTCATACAATCACCGCTACACCAACTACCGTACTTTGTATAAGTACGACTCCACCAACTATGCTGTCAAAGACCTCCCTCGAACCACACCGCGACGGCAATCGCTGAGCAGCTCGCTCAATGGCCTCCAATGGCACCCCGAAGCCTCCGCGCTCACCACAGTTCCCCCAAGCCAACGCACCCCGGGTTTGGTTCCTTACCAACGGCGCATCCCCGATCGCTATCTCACTGGCGCGGAAGGTCCTCGAGCATGGCGACTGTGTAGTCGCGGGCGTTTCGCCTCTAGAATTTGAGAAAAACGAGGATCGCAGCCTGGAGTTCAAGGAGTTCTTGGAAGAGGTGAAGCGGCTCGAGCGGTGGAGGGAGAAGCTGAGAGTCGTAGGGCTGGATGGGAGGTGTGCGTCCCCGTCTCCGAAAACTGTCAAACACGAGGAGAGGACTGCATCCCGGGCAGCGCAGCTGATCCCCAGCAGAAGAATCGCACAATGTCAAGCCGCCATCGCAGAAGCCGTGCAAGCCTTCGGCAGGATAGACGTCCTACTCGGCTGTTCCAGCGAAGGTACATCCTCCTCCCCGCCTGGCCCCCTCCAAACTCTCCCCAACCCGCTAACCATCCCACACCAGCTGTCATCGGCACAATCGAAGAGTTATCCCAAACCCCCCACACCCACTCCCTCGCACGCTCCCAACTCGAAACCACCTTCCACGCCTCCGCCAACATCATCACTGCCGTGCTTCCGCACATGCGCTCCCGCCACAACGGCCACATCATAATGCTGACCGGCATAACCGGCCACCTCGGCACCCCAGGCCTCGGTCTCTACTGCGCCGCGCAGTGGGCCCTAGAAGGCTACTGCGACAGCCTGGCGTACGAAATTGCGCCGTTCAACATCAAGATGACGATCGTGCAGCCGAACCTCGAGGTCGGGGTGCTCGGGAACAGGATTACGGCTGCGCCGGCGATGGCGGAGTATGCGCCCGAGGCTAATCCGGCGCCGTTGGCGAGGGAGCTGTTGGGGGGCTTGCTGGATCGGTTGACTGGGAGCGGGCATGCGACTGCCGCGAGCCCTGGAGACGATGGTGTCGAGGGTGAGGATGAGAATGAGGACGAGGACGCCGCTATGGCGGACGCCGCTGCAGAAAGTCCCGCGACGAGCCCAGCAAACATCTCACCGCTACCCTCAAACGCGCCGCACAATCCCCTGCCCAGCGACCTTCTCTCCTCCGCCGCCCCACCAGCCCTCTATCCGCACCTGCCTGCAGCCGTCAAAGCAGCCCTGATAGCCGAGACCGTGCACGCGCTTGCCGCCATCGGTGGACACGACAACCCGCCCGCGCGGCACATTGTTGGCTTCGAGGGCGTCGCGAGTGTCAAGGAGAAGCTGAAGACGGTAAGCGAAGAGCTGGAGGACTTTATCGAGGTTAGTGCGGGCGTGGATATCGGGAGGGGTGGGGAAGGGGGTGTGATGTAGGGATGAGGGTGTAGGGGGCGTTGAGATGGTGTGCAGCATTTACGAACTCTACTTGCTATGAACCGGGTTCTCTGTAATAACATGAATGGTACGTAGCCTTGAAATATGTACTCCTGGCTTCGTCTGCCTTTCCCTCTGTCAGTTCCTTATCCAACCCCGCTTGACTCGCACGACCAACTCCTCTGTAGGCGGCGGCAGCTTCATAGCTCGTGCAGCTACCGAGGCATTCACACTAGTACGAGGATAGCTGCCTTTCATGCCCCTCGTGTCTAGCAGCGGCGGCCCGCTCTGAGCCGGTCAAGTGAGACGGTAACGGAAATGGAAAGCATGCCGGCAGTTCGATTCCACTCCCTCGGAAGGTCCAATAAAGCAACCGGTGAGGTATACACCCAGTTGAGGAGGCCAGTGATGGTGATTTTCTGTACTCTGGATCGCTCTTTGCTAGAGTCCTGGACCCGGTCGACGTGTCCCTCTGCTGCGGCCAGTAGCAGCGCACAACTGCCTACGGTTGATGTCAGGTCCGGGTTCCGTCTTTGACCTCCACTCATATTCCTTGATACGTTCTTGACTCGTCTCATCCTCCGCTCGTTTCTTCCACCTCCTTACCGGACGCAGCAGCGGGCCACACCGCTTCCGCATCGCCCCCGCGCCCGCCAATTACCGCAAGCGGATCCTCACAGAACAACCCAAGAAACTTCTCGACCGTGTCACGGAGCTCATGCTGTTGCAGCTGCAACTGCACAGTCCCAATCTGCCTTCGAAACGCAAACACAACGCCTTTGAACGTCTGGTGGTACACCAGCTTGTACTCTTCGTCTTCTGGCAACTGGTCGACGGACTTATCCTGCTTCTTCCGCTGCTGGAGGCCATGCATACGCATGCCTGCCATGACAAGCCTGGAGATGGTTTCTTTGTTGCGCGTCTCAATGGTCGACTCGCCTTCGAGATTCGAGATACTCGTCACTCGTGACAGCGAGGAGCGCTTCGATGGGCCGTCTAGCAGGCCTTGCCCTTTCTGGCTGGTGGGGCGTGGCTCTAGCGAGATGCTTGGAGAGCGCGAGAGTGGGCGCGGCGATGCAACCGTCATGGGAAGGGTGTTAATGGGGCCGTTCTGCTTGTTCAAGGATAGCGAGCGCCGGTGCAATGACGGTATAGCGCCATCAGCTCGCGACGCTGCGGCCGCTACACTCTCGCCGCCGTGGCGTTTGGCTCTTCGGCGGCGTTCGGCGGCTTCGTCGAAGACGTCGGAGACGGACTTGCGCTTGGCCGGTTTGAGGGGCGAGGATGCGGCTACAGAGAAGAAGGGGGGTAGGAACTGCGCGTCTTCGGAATCGGACATTGTTACGGGATTGCGTGGTGAGAGCGGAGGCGTAGCGGATGTTGGATTGATGTAGAGGAGATCGGACGAGAGTGGGAGGGCCTGGACACGCAGTTGAGGGGTGGATTCCGGGCATAGCGAACTCGCTATGGTATCTGTGCCGTTTGTACCGGTTGAGGACACCGGCGGCCAAGCCAGTGAGACCCCATTACTCGAAGGATTGATTATGCCGTAAAAGAGTATTTCCGTGATGCGCGGTCTGGCTGAGTCCGGGTCGTTCCGCGAAGTCCGCGACGTGAGCTGCGCCAGAACTCCAATAGGAGACTGTATTCTGGCTTCTTGCCACCATGGTCGGCGCTCTCCTTTTGTATCCTCGTCCTGGGGAGCGTCTAGTGGCTGCTCGAGTAATGCAGAGCTGAACCATGCTTCTGTCTCGGGCGTGTTCGACCAGACATCCAGAGGTGGTCCTGCTGCTATGTAGAGCGGAATCCGAGCTGTGTCTACCAAAGATAGAAATAGGAGAGACGCCTCGGAGTACTCTTGCAGCAGCGTCGAAGGCTGTGTGGTCGTCAGATGTATGTCTGGTAGGGGTTAGCGAGGTCTACAATATGGATTTATCAAGCTACCTCTGACCGAAAGGAATTCGGAGAACAAAATGTCTCCACGCCAGCAGTCCATGGTAAAGCTAGTTGTACAGTGCGGTTGGAGAACTCGGACGCGTCAAAGCGGCGGACACCAGGTCACGTGACTGGAATCAGTTCATCGAACAACATGCCTGTGGAATAGATCTGTGAAATCCTACAATCCGCTATAGCGGCACAAGTATCCCCCGAAGCATTCCAGCTTTACAAGTGCTACTTTGTATTGCAGCTTGGAATACCGGTTTCTTATACTACACTAACGACATGGCAGTACATTCAGTCTTATTCCAGCGGCATTCGGCCTTGCCCAACAGCTGCACGGGACACAATGCCAGTCCCACAACATGTGCCGGAGACTCATGCTAGTCCTAGCCCTGACAGCGAGCAGGATGACCGTAGCTAAGGCTCTATACTCACTTACCATTGCTACTTTATAAACCGACACGTTTTGCCAATACAGCGCAAGTGACGGAGCCATGTGTCCCGCTCTTCTGCACTCGAAGCGGCAAGAGTGTACCCATCAAGATCGCCGGTCGCCCTACGTGGACATGGCCCCTGAAAAGTGTTGCACAAAGGATATAGGCTTTGCGGTTGCCTTCCGGTAATGCGATGGACCGATGGTCTCCCTTGATTGTTCACTAGCACGAAGCCATAAGTATTCTTGAGGAATTGGTATTGCAGGTGGCTACATAAAGTTAGCCTCAGGCCATAGACTCCCCTTGGATAGTAAAAGCGTACCTTTGTGCTGAGGCTACCAAACACCCTTGCATTTCTTTGCTTTGAACGTCGCAAGATGATGAGACTTTGGTCAAACAGGATTACATGGACTTTCGCCCATCGATGCCTGCGATTCGCACTACCTCGACCATCCTGATCAAGCAAGTCACCGCGAAACACCACTTGCCGCAATTCGAGACGCAGCGGCCAAATCAAACCGGATCCATCCTACTCAGTCTGAATACGAGCTCGACCAAGCCTCCGTGGCAGATGCTGCAAAAAGGGACGCTCTAAAGCCTTGATCGTTTCGAAGAAGGGTCTGAGCGCGCCGTAAGACATTTGCTCTTGCCCTGAATTTCTTGAAGTTTTCCAAGCGAGGTGCAATGCTTTTGTACTTGCCCGCGCGGGGAATCTGCATCTTTTAAAGCTTCGACATACTGGTGGTAGAGCGGTTGCGGATGATCGGATCCTTCATGGGACTGGTAAGCCAACTATCTTCTGTCACAGGAATCTATGTCGGGAAGCTTTGGTCATGAACGTCTACTACTTGTCAAGAGGATGTGCTCTCAACGTAGGCTCCCCTTCATATCCCCACAGCTCTTCATCGTCGTTGTCCGCCTCCGATAACTCATCATCATCTCTACAGCATGGGCCACAGAACGGGACATGAGTAGCCGCAGACTCAGCAGTAACATCATTGACCAGCTTTGCAGCCGTAGGTCTCAAATCAGGGGTCTCCTGGAGCATCTGCGCAATCCACTCCAAAGGCTTGTCGTCCTTAGGCAAACCGCGACCTCGCAGCTTGTCTATCCATTCAGGAATATGGGCAATGTTGGCATAGAAACGATAATTTTCCTTCCGTTCATTGAAGAAACTCCGCATGTTGACGACACTTTCTCCTTTCAGAACGGTGATCATCTCAAGAAAAACGCATCCCAGCGACCAGATATCTGAGGATGTGTTCCGCTTTTCGTACCGGGCAACTTCGGGAGCGGCGTACGGCCAGGTCTTGCCGGAGTCTGCGGTGGTGGTGCTTTGTGATAGGTGCTCCCAGTCCAGTGCGATGCCGAAGTCGGTTAGGAGGACCCGGTCGCCCTTGACAAGAACATTCTGTGGCTTGATGTCTCGGTGGCGGATCTTGATATTGTGGATATATTGAAGAGTATTGGCGAGACAGCCGAAAAAGCTTCGGAGGAGCGACAACTTGTTAGCAGAGTTGCTGGCGAGGCTGTAGTATTCGAATAAGTTGCAATCTGCTACAGGAGACATAATAAGGGCAAAGTATCTTGGGTCGGTGTAGCTCTGCACCTGTCCCAGGAATCGACTTAGCTACGGCCCTGAAGCCGATCTGGCAAGGACGAGAGAGTGCTTACCAACTCTACACAGTGAATGTGACTTACTCTCTTGAGCACTTGTAGTTCTGTTTGAAAGCTTTTAATGTCTTCCTTGCTGACTCCTCTGGTCCTTCGAAATAATTTCCTCGCGTATTCTCGATGACTCAGAATACTCATAACCTTGTCAACGTATCCATGTCCTCCGGATCCAAGTCTACCAATAACCTCAAAAGGTAACGGCTCGTCTTGAGTAAAATGAGCATGTCTTCGATCGAAGCTTTTCTCGAACCTTAGTGATTTCGAAAACACGACGGACTGTGTTTGTAGAAAGTTGGCTCGGGCTGATGGTGTAAGTGCATCCGGGAGTGATGTTGGAGTGAAAGGAAACCATATATCTGTGATGCCTTGATCCACGAAAGAATCCAAAAAGGGTAGATGCCCGATCAAGCGCAAGACAGTGTATAGTCTCGGGACGGTGCTCCACGACGAGCGATCAGCATTCCGAAGGTATGTAGATATTTGGCTAAATTCAGTATCTGTGTAGGCAATTCGATCCTCTCCGCCTGATGTGGGAAAGAAGTTCCCTAGTCCTTTCTCACTGGAACGAGGAGTATCTGAACGAGGGGTGTTGTTGGTCTTCATTCCAGCTTCGGAGATTGGAAAGGAACCAGAGGATCTGGATGGAGGTAGTGCAAAGTCCGGAGGAGACGGAGCGGCGGCTCTAGCGGTAGATGAAGGTACACGTGCAGATCTCTGTAGCTGAGAATCAACCTCTATGGAAGTTCTCCCTGGACTAGGTATGTCGCTTGATAGACACGCCATCCGATATCCAACCTTCTCCAGTTCTGTACGCCTCACACGATACTCGGAGGCCGAGGCAGACTGATTCTCGTCGAGCCAGGCAAGGATCATATGCACTAAGGTCGTGACCCTCAGAATCTCGGATCCTTCACGCCTGGAGTCGCGCACGTCACTCTTCAAGGAGTATGCGTACGATTCTAAAGCGTTCCTTGCTGAGACACGATCCGCTTCAGCCTCATCTTCTGCCTTGTACTGCTCGGCTTCTCTCTTCATGCGCTCAATTGAATCCGATGAGAGTCTGGCGAAATTTCTGATATAGTGCATTCTCTGCTGCCCGGTGTCCTTTACGAGCGTCTGAACAGACAACTGACCGTGTCGATCGCAGTTAAATGTGATTTCGATCTGAGGGACACCTCGAGGAGCTGGAAGAAGTGGAATAACGAACGCCCCTAAATACAAGTTGTCTCTGAGCGGCCAAGCGTCACCCTCGAAGACTGACATGTGGAAGTCAGCTTGATTGTCTTCGCACGTGGAAAATGTCTCTGACTTCTTTGTGGGAATAGTAGTGTTGCACTTAATCAGCGTCGTCATCACGTCTCCAGGGATTTCGATACCTAAACTGATCGGCGCAACGTCCAGAACCAAGAGTTCGCGGAGTCTAGAAGGCGGCGCATCATAGCCGGAGTATATCGCCGCATGAATTGCTGCACCACGTGCTGCAGCTTCATTAAGATTGAGGGACTTCGATATATCTTTTCCATTGAAAATGTCCGAAAGTAGCTTCTGGATTTTCGGAATCCGAGATGAACCCCCAATTACAACGACCTCATGAATGGAGGATTTGTCTAACTTAAGGGCGTCCTCTGTAACTGCGATGACGCGGCGGAAGATGTCCACACAACTTTCCTCGAAGATCGTGGATGTCAGTAGATAGTTGAAATCAATGCCTTCGAGAAGAGAGTCAATCTGTACAGTGGTTTGTTGCTGCGAAGAGAGCTCACACTTTGCATGTTCGCAAGCAGTGCGGAGACGAAGACGTGCTCTAGCGTTGGAGGTTATATCCCTACTCCATCTTTTCTTGATCACGTGCGTCAGGTGGTTGGTGAGACGGGTATCAAGATCTTCTCCGCCAAGATGGAGGTCGCCGGAAACGGATTTGACTTCGATGATACCCTCCTCGATAGTTACCAGCGCTACATCGAGCGTGCCAGCACCCAGGTCGACAAAAAGAAGGTTCCTCTCGCCAGTGCGCGGATTGCTAATCGTGTAGTCACTAGCGGCAGCGGTAGGCGCGTTGATCATGAGGAGAACCTGAAGTCCAGATATCAGAGCGGCGTCTCTGATGGATTGACGCTGAGAGCTGTTGTAGTACGTTGGTACGGTGAGGACAGCGCTGGTCACAGTAGACCCTAGGTAGCTTTCGGCATTCTCCTTTGCCCTGGCTAATATCATGGATAAGACTTCCTCTGGCGTTAAAATCTTGCTGCGCCTTTTGTATTCAACGCTGATGACGGGTTTGCCCCCCTTATTGAGGACCACGAATGGAAGCTGCTTTAAATCGAACTGGACCTCGGGATCACTGAACTTACGTCCGACAAGACGCATAATATTAAAGATGGTGTTTTGAGGATTGATGGCGGCTTGGTTTTTGGCTGATGCACCGATCAGGCGAACCGATTCTGTAAAGGCAACATACGATGGCATAGTGCGGCAGCCGTCGTGTGGAACGATCTCGATATCGTCATCACGGTACACGGCGACGCACGTATTCGCGGTCCCAAGGTCGATTCCGATTGCATAGGGGCCCGGGGCCATGCTGTACGAGTGCGACAGGTCGAAGCTTTCGAGGTAGGCAGCGATGGGTCATTGACATGTAGCGAGGACCACGATGCGCTTGAGGACCTCTCGACCAGTGAAAGCGCAGTGATACCTGGGTGGACGGGAGGTTGCCAGAGTCAGGCTCGATTGGAGACACCGTGAACCATGAAGATGAAGCTGCACGGCAACACCAAAGTCCAAACGCCCTCCTTCCACGGGCGTGCGATCGGCAATACCGGATGTCGAGCGTGGAGAACGGCCTTAATCTAGATATGTGGCGGCTCAATCGTGAGCTGAAAGAAGGTTGGGAGAGCCACCATAACCGAGATACAAGAGGCGCAGGACTGCCAAGGACCGAGGCGGGTCGAAAAAGTGATGCTCGCTCTGTTCGACCGTTCTCTGCGCACTGACCGAGCCACGTGCGAGCATCACTTTTTGGGCCCCGCCTCGGACTCGCGCAGATGAATGAACCACATCCATCTACAGGCCGAATACTCAACTCGGCTCCGATCCTAGCTCGGTGTTCGTAAATTCATACAGGGGTAAAAAAGCTCAGCAACAACTTGATGATGGAATATCTCTGCATCACGTGAGGGATTTTAGGAACCATTCAGCTGGCAGCTTCATTGTCCTCAAGGCTTATTCTCTTCATCCCCACAACAGCAATAGAGTGTGTCTGTTATCGAAACCCCTAATAAGACTCAATGTTCTAATATCTCATAAATAGAGATAGTAATTATCGGGCTCTCCGCAAGGCATCCCCGAGTAAAACAAGACTGACATGTCTTTTCGCCACCTTAATGTTAGCCAAACCTACTCTAAAATCGTGCCAGTTCGCCGCAGAACCTGTCGTGCGGTCGCCGGCCCGAACCAGCACATGAGGCTACTCAGGCTCCGCCTTCATACGTTCAGATCCCCGTTTGCAATGCCGGCAGCACTCGGAGCATCAAGAGCTAGCCCGGCGCAAAGTGGGAGGGCAGCGGAGAAGGCTCTGCGCCTCAACGGGCTGTCAGTCTCTTGTTCCCTTTAAGAAGGACACAGCTAACCTAGATATGGCTGTGAGTTGATCGTTGTAAGGTACCATCTCGCCTACCAACTCAAGCACATCAGGCATGCACCTCAAACACACCTTGCCGAAAGTGCAATGGAGGAACTCTGGATAGAGAAGAAAAACAGGTTTCGACCTGGCGATATCAGAGCTATAGAATCAAGAGCGTCCGCAGCGGCTCTCGTACAACGGAACTCGGTAGATACATCAAAAGCGCGTGCAATTCTGCGTTATCGGTAGCAGGAAATCTTGCAGGATGGTATCGCACTCAAGCACTTCGTCGTGCGCCGCCAGAGCTTTTACTATACACAGTCCTGAAGTATGCCGCCGCTGAGTAAACCTCCATGCCAGGCCTTGATACCAAGGTGGTGGACAGAACAATACGTGGGTAACTCCCGTGGAAATAAGTAAACAAGAAAACGCCTCGCAAACCCATCGCGTATCAGAGCCTAGATATCTTGCAAGTGTCGCCTTCAGGCGACTCCAAAACTATGATCATCGCCTTCGGACAGCCCCATTCTTCCCCGATGAGTTCTAAGTCTCCCTCGGTTTGCATCCACAACAGGACTTGTCCACCTGTCCTTCCCCTCCGAATCTTGAACCTTGTGGGTCGTTGCACCGAATCCCATCGGCTCGAAGCCAACATAGATATTCTCCCACGCTCCTGCAGGTGCCTCGTACACCTCGTGCATGATCGCGAGGTATTTATGGTTCTTGATAAACTTGTTCCACCAGTCCCAGCCCGCGCGATGAGCAGGGCCATGCGCAAATGCGTGGACGTCTTGCGCCGAGCGGAAATAGAAGTTTGTCATGACGGCTGAGGAGGTGGTGCGGTGGCCTGCGTCGAGATATGAAGATGAGCCGAGATAACCATTGGATGGTGCGTTCGCCTCCAAATCGTCGAGCATGCTAGTGAAGTAGTTCGTGATGGTCCCAGCACCCGGGGCGAGGATACCGAGCGGATGGTTAGAACGAAAGCCGAGGAGAAGCACAGCAACATTGCCTGTCGAAGCATCTGACAGCGCATTGTCGGAGGCCTGCTGAAAGGGATATCTAGCGGTAACTCTGCCCATAGTGCCATCCATGTAGGTGTTCCTCTTGAGGCCGAGAGCCATGAGTGCGGTATCAGCTACTTTGATACCGAGGATGAGAAGGGCCAAGCTGCGAATGTAAAAATCTGGGACCGGCAGCAAGAGCAGGAGGCATTGGATACTGGCGCCAATGAGAAGCCACGTCGAGATATGAAACTGATCGCGGACGAGGTTATGTACGAAGTTGAGACCACTGTCTTTAGTTACAGATAAAGGCTTTGAGCTGAGCAATTGTGGAGCCGTTGGCGCAGACTTCATGATAGCGCGGAGTGATGTGATGCGTTATGGAGGATGGTAGCTGGTAAAACGTCTGACGTGTAGAGAGATAAGAACTGTACTTGGGAAGTTGCTTGATCGACTTCTCAAGGAAGCCTCGACGCCCGCCTTATTTGTGTATCCCATCTTCATGGACCTCTTACGTGCGCACGTACATAGAAGACGGACAATTGTGGCTTTCAATCGGAGCAACGAATGACACTCTCGGCCGTGTTGTTCGGTGCCGCGAAGTTGGAACTCCCGTCGGATGCACTTCCGTGACACGGTTCAGCCGTGCCGCTTCCACCGCGGAGTTGCTGGTGGAGCGTGCACTCCTGTAACCTTATTGGTACGGCCCACAATGACGGGAAGGGCGGGCAGGTAACGGCCATAAGCGTACCTGTAGGCTCTTCTAGCAGGGCTGGCAAGCAAACGCTCATACCAATACTCGTACCTGCACCTGTATTGCAACCAGATTGTTGCAGGCGCTGCAGTTGAGTGATTGTTTGTGGCAAGCAGGCAGCGCACTATTCGCAAAGACTGAAGGAACAGTTCACAGCCATGCTCGAGTACAATGCCCTATCAGACATTCATCAGGCGACTTAGAATACCAGATTCATATCGGCTATCATCTCAAGCGCCACCCTCTCTTTTAGCATACTCGTCCTCCATTGCCTCCTTATATCCCCTATCCGCGTCCGTCCCATCCTGGACTCCCTCCTGTCCTGCTCTTGCATCACTTTCCGTCAACGTTCCGCCTCGAGTACCCAACGGCAGCTCCCGTCCCTATGCGTCCTACTGCCTTATCTCCTGCAAGGGGGACTCGCCGAGTCTTTGCGTGGCGGTTTGAATAGTGGTGCCGGAAAGGCTGCATTGAATAGAGCTTTGGTAGGTGAGCCCTGTGTGCTGACCATCTGAGCCGCTGGAGGTATAGGAAGAGCTCGTGTGGGAGAAAGGTGCATGGCTCGATATCCCGGCAGCTGGATCCAGATACAATGATTTGACTGACCTTGTGAGCGTATAGGGCTTGATTTTAGCTCAGGTCAATATTACTCTCACATGCCGCACGGGAGTCGAAGCACGTGAGCTGGGCCCATAAGGCTTCGACTTCGTACGTTCTACCCGACTCGATGTCCCACCACCGCTTTTAGCAACGCTGCCGTTGTTCTATAAAGAATTTTTCGAAGATCACTAGGTCATAGCTTATGTTTATGTTGCCGCGTCGTTGTTAGCTGAAGTAAAGTCGAACTTAGCGGTGGGTCACATAAGCATCCGATTTCTCGAATAGAAGTAGCGGCAATGTAACCGATTGTTATCTTCTCGTACACTCAGCCTTGCAGTTCGCACTGCTCCAACACTCGACAATTCCAATTTACCGATTCAGACCGCTAACCTCAAGATGGGCGTCGGAAAGATGGCTTTCGACTTGTATCTCGAAGCACACGAGAAAGCGGCGGACTGGGTTGTAGGAAAGGTGTGGTAGGTCAAGCGCATTATGGATATAGTATTTCCCCTTGTATACCTTACCAATCAGAATCTGGGGTCGGCACCTCATCTGAAAGCAAGGTGAGGCAAGACGATTGTTAGGTGAGGCAAAATCTGATAGGTGCACCGACCAACCTCCCCTAAGGTATGCGCGCATGTCTGCCAATGCCTTGATCTTGTAGGTTCGACATCACTAGATCGAAGTAAACTCCTGTCTGCTGCAGAGCACAGGGGTATCTGCAGTGCTTCTCAAGTCCGGCACACTCTCTAACATATGCATGGTGGCTTGTTGTGGTAGATGAAACGGTGTAACACGCACCTCACAGCCGTCTACAGTCATCTACCGGCGCCGCGCGAAGCAGCTTACTCAAAGGCTCCATACTTACAGTCTTCTCGGCTTCGTAAGTGCATAAAGTAATACCGCTTAAATCTCGTGACGGTTGTCACGGCTCTAGGATGATTGGGCAATAAGCCGAGCTCGACCTGGGCATATATACGAGCTTATGCCCGTGACCTCAAAATGGATTTCAGCTGCTAGCAGCGCTTTATATTTCTGCCTCCAGCTATATATCGCCTTAGGGATTGCATCCTCTAATCAAACCCGTCTCCAATCGCGATTCTCGTCGTACCTGCTGGAATTCTAAATCAGCTAAATATGCATCTCATTCTCGTCGGCGCGACTGGTCTCGTCGGCTCTGCAGTCCTCTCTCACCTGCTCTCACTTCCAGCGAGTCAGATCGGTCAGATTTCCATACTGACTCGAAGACCTGTCCCCTTGGCCGAAGGGCACCCGCATGTCAAAGTCATTGAGCACCATGATTTCACCTGTTTTCCGCCCGAGCTTCTTTACCAGCTGAAAGGGGCAGATGGCTGCATATGGGCATTGGGAACATCACAAGATCTTGTGAGTAAGGAGTAAGTTGGTTGCATCTCCATGCCAGCTTGGTCCTCCAGATAATCAAAGAGAATCACCCCGGATGACGAACCGTCGTATGCAGGGAATATACGAAGATCACGGTGGACTACACGATCGCTGCGGCGAAAGCATTCTCTACCCTTTCGGACCCTTTCAAGTTTGTCTTTGTGTCAGGTACGATCTGTAGCACATTGGGCGAATCGTGGAAAGAATGCTGACGCCTGATCAGCTGATGGGGTAAGTTTCCCTCTATCCTGCCCACACTTCCTACCCATCTGATTCAAATTTCCATTGTACAGGCAACAGAAGACCCTGGAACTCTGACTCCATTCTTCCTGCGTGCAAAGGGCCAGGCCGAATCCGCCCTTCTCGCCCTTCGATCCACGCATCCTTCACTCCGCCCTTACTCCCTCCGCCCAGGTTTCGTCGACAAGTCCTCTCAGCCCGAACTCTCCAAATGGCAAATTCAGCGTCCAATGCCGCTTCTCAAGAAGCTCATACCAGTTCTGGGTCCGATATATCGTACAATCTATCCGAGTGGGACGACTCCGACGCCGCAATTGGGAAAGGTGCTCACGGATCTGGCGATGGGGGATGGAGAGCACCTCGAAGGTTCTGGTATCGTAGGTGGAGGGAGAATCATTACGAATCTCGGGTTCCGAAGGCTGGCAGAGCTTTGAAGATCACGGTAGTGGCGTTGGCTCCGCGGTCTCGTATTGATAGGACGATCCTTATCGGCGGCAGAGCCCTGGACCGAGTATGACTTCTGCAACCTAGCGTTGTACCTTCAATGACGATTGAGTTAGAATGATAGTCTTGATATACACACAGGAATGGTTCCATGGTATTATATTCCAATTTTGTGATGATATCTCCAGCCTAGTACCATCGCGCCTTTCTAGCATCATAATCTATGATAAACTCGACTAAGCGACAAAGGAAAGGCTGGATGGATGACAAGCTGCTCTAAGCCCCGTCAGGCCGAAGTCGGCAGTCCCCAAGGCATCGTTAAATCATAATTAACATCAGACCTCGCGTTTAGGCGTCAATCTACACATCAAAGGCTGCTTCTCCCACAATGAATAGACTTTCTGATCGGCCCACCGCTCGCTCTGAGAACATAAAACAAGATCGAAATGCCACAGCACTTTCGCCAGGATCAGGCGAATCTCATGGTAGGCCATGTTCTTACCTAAACAGCCGCGAGGCCCGAGTGAGAAGGGTTGAAGAACCTGCTTATTGTCCTCGCTGGATTCCTCATCTTCACCGAGCCAGCGTTCGGGAATGAAGGAGTCAGGTGAATGGAAGTTCTTGGGGTTGCGGTAAGCTGCAAATTGGCTCACGTAGACGCTGGTCTGTATCGGCAGGGGTTAACGTGGTTGAATTGATTTTGCTGGAACACAAGAACTTACCCCTCCAGCTACAAACCGACCGCAAATTTCTGTGCCCTCAGGCGGCGTCACACGCGGCAGACCAATGGGAACTGGCGGATACATTCGGAGGCCTTCCTCGACACACGCATTGAGATACTTCAACTGCGCCAGTCGCTCCATCGTGATCTCTTTCGTATCTGCGAAGGCACTCCGAATCTCGTTCACGAGTCTATCCATGGTCGCAGGGGTTTTCAGAAGGTAAAACGTGAGACCGCTGAGGAGAGTTGCCGTGGTCTCAGTGCCCGCAATCATGAAGATGTTGGCATTGGAGTGCATCTCGCCGACGCTAAGACATTTGTCTCCGCTTTGGCTGAGGACAAGGCTCCAGATATCCGGCCGGCTAGTTTCTTTCTTAAGACGTCGGTCTACTCTATCATTCGTGTACTGGGAATGAGCCCGGCGCTTTTCCTTGAGCGATCGGGGCGCTAGCCGCTCCAGCAGAAACTTCGCGGTGGGAAAACTCCCGATGACGTGGAACATCGTCCCCAATTTGATCCCGGCAAAGATCGCGCTGACCCAGGGCGAGTACTTTGTGTCTTTGAGCATATACAAGGGCTCACCGAACGTCAAATCGCCCATGACGTCGAACGTCGTGAAGTTGTAGAAATCGACCAGGTTGACCTCGGCGTCCGTATTGTTGTCTGCTATCTCATGCAGCTTCTCGATGAGCAGATCTACGTACGTTAGGAAGAGCGGCTCTTGCTGTTTTAGTGCTTTGTTCGAGAATGCGGCCGAAAAGATTCGACGGACACGCCCGTGGTCTTGTTCGTTCATCGTAATGATTGATTGGGATCCATGCGCCTCGATTCCGTAAAACGACGTGTCTTTCGGATTCTCGCCCTTGCCGGCCTTCTGGAAGCCATAGATGTCCTTCCAGGCTTGGCCATCAATGTAGCTTAGCTCGTTCGGCGCAACGCGCACCTGGCAGAACACAGTCAATACTACACTCTCTTATGTCTGAGCCGCCCACGTACCACATCACCGTATCGGCTATGAAGGGATGTGATCCAGGCTACCTGATTCCCTGATATACGACTTCGCTGGTATGGAAGCTTCGTCACGGCGGCAAGCTTGGGTCCCGGATATCTGCGCAGCGGGTGAAAGAAGGTGTTATAGATAATCTGGAGAGCCTGGAGGAGACAATACTAGAGATTGCATTAGTGCTTTGACAGGAATGTTGGCCTGCGATTACACGAGTGCTCTTACAATAACGAGGAAGCCGCCAGCGGCAACTAAGATTCGAGTCGGCTGCACAAGCTTTGAAAGCTGACCGAAGGCATGAGGATCATTTGCGGCGACGCCCATGATGTAAAGGCGCGGTTCGAGAGCTGAGAGCGGAGGTCGCCTTAGGTGCTGCGTCGGGCATTCGATTGCGCGCGGCAATAGAATAACTCGCACGAAGACGGACGATCTTCCAGACAAGAGAGACCGTTCTGGAAGCTGATTTAGCGAGCCGCATGTTGACTGTGCTTTTTCGAGGTGATATATAAAGTGGCGTCCGGAAAGGCGTAGTTTCCGAGCCGACTGCGTACTCTCTGAACGAGTACATGTGTAGAAGGTTGATTTCCCACAACCCCGCATTGGCCAAGCACGTGAGACCGTTTTGTTCCCGTCTCGCCGGCCGCGGGTTCCCGTGTTCCCGAATCGTTCGGACCCTTAGCACCACGACACATCTCCTTGCTACAATGAAAACCGCATCGTCGAGCAATAGCCGGCACCGTGCCCGATCTCTAGCCTCAATTCACCTGGCACTTAGTAGCACGAACGATTCGGAGTAAAGGAAGATATTGTCATTCGGCGCGAGAACGAACAAGCTTCGACGCTAAAGCTGTCAAAATGTCCGAAGAGGATGCCTTTCCGCATACCCTGTTTCAGAGTCTCATCTAGAGGAGCTCGGTACCGCCTCCAACTGGGGAATCCAAATCTTGTAATCGCCGTGCCGGTATCACCTTCGACGCGCTCAGCGGTGAAGGCTGTAAGACCGTTACGTAGATGTCATGGAACGTAATCATTATGCAAGTGTAACATCACCCCTATCTAAAGAGCCGGATCCATCCGGACGGCTATACATACGCAGATTGCACCGTTTGGAGCTCCACAGTCGGATTTGCGACACATCTCTACTTCTTTCCAACGAACCCATACCGCAACGATGCCAACAGGAAGCTGTCTCTGCGGAAATGTCACGTACTCGTATATCGGGTTGCCATACAGAACAGTAACGTTACCCCCCGCTATTCACCTGTGTTCTCAAACGCACTAACAAACTCTCCCCATACAGCTTGTCTGCCACTGCATGCACGATCGCAAAGTCAGCGGGAGCGCCTTCACTACCGACCACGTCGTCCTCGAGAACGCCTTTACGCTGGTAACGGGTGTGCCGAAGATAGTGTTGCGGACGGGTATTAGCGGAATGAACTCGAGACTTCATTCCTGCCCCAATTGCAATATTACGCTTTTTGAGATGGCGGAGTTATGGCCTGGCCGGGTGATCATCAAGGCGGGGACACTAGATGATAAAGAGGTGATGGATGCTGTAAAGCCCGAGATGGAGCTTTTCATCAGCCGCAAGGCTGCGTGGTTGCCGAAGTTGGCTGAGAATCAGTTTGAAACTCAACCACTTGAATTGTGAGGAAAGGAAGGGCGTTAATAGTGGTTAGCGGGACAAAATAGTTTGCTCTTCACACGGAATCGGTTTCTTGAAGGATGCAGAGAGAGCTAGTTGCAAGTACGAGAGAAGGGATATCTTGAAATTACATATCGTTCAACTCCTACTATCTGACTTCTGCGGAGAGGGACATCCATGCCTCAAGGACTTGCTCCCTTTCCCATTCCATGCTGCCGGCGATAGCTTCGCGGGACCGACACAGAGTGTATATAACCGCGTCATTTCGCCTTACACTCGTACTATCAAAGCTCTCGCATATAATAGGAGACGTATCTTTATCACTACTACATCACGCGACGAACCTTTAAAACTACTTATCGTTACTATGCCCGGGATACCTAGTGCCTGTAATCTTCCGAAAGTGAGAGCGGGGAAGCCTAAGATTATAGCAGCTATGGGAACGTCCGTAGATGTGGAGACTTTAGACCAGCCTGAGGTAGCAAGCGTCATGCATAATATTCGACAATGTAGTATTGCCCACTTCGCTTGATTCTCGCACCGTAATCCAGACCGCTGCGGCCAAGCTCTAGAAGGTTATACACCTGATCTTGCCAAGCGTTTCACGAAGCGAGGTGGACCCCTCCGGACTCCTTGCACCTCCGCAAAACGGCCCGTCCCTACATTCCATCCGCTGCCTATTAGGTTCAATGCCCAGCTGCAGCTCTTAGTGCTGTACGGCTTACGACGCTTCGGAACTCTCCGTCCCCTGGCATTTCGATCGACACCATACGCTCCACACGAAGATCCGACGTCGGCGGAGACGGTTGAAGGCTAGTTATTAGGATTTGAGAACTGTTTTCTATGTTCAAAGCTCGTATTGACGCTCGTTGATACCGAAAACAACCTGAAGTGCAGCAGCCTAACATGCGGGTTCGTAATCTCGCTACTTTTTGTTATATCAAATTGGTGGTAAGAAGAATCAACCTTGTCGTCAACCTTTAATCATCAAGGGAAAGAATGCCGAGATATCAACCATCAGTAAAAACCACAACTGTAACTTTTGTAATAGAGAATTCGACTATTAGAACATTGCAAAGATGATAACAACCAGGATACCCGCATAGTAATCGAGAAGATCAAGAATAACAGAGATCACACTCTGCGCACGACCTCCAAGAGAGCCCACCCTCCGGACTTAGAGGAAGGCTCCGTCAAGTCCAGCAGCCTGATATCGAGCATAGTCTTTCCAGTCCCTTGAACAACACCGGTCACAATCTAGCCCGTAAAGGACCGAAGCTTCTGAAGGTCCCACCAAGATGTTCCCAGTCTCCACCAGACGGGTGCCATCTTCGGCCGTCCCACGCTTTGTGGTACATGCTGTTGTTAGTCCCAAGCCCAAAGATATCCAACCGGTTGTCGCTCCAGGATTCCGCTACTGGGGCGCTAGTAAAAGTTCCACCTAAATGCTCCCAGTCGGTGCGCGATGGTCCCCAGTTTGACCCGTCCCACCACTTGTGATACATGCTGTTGTTGGTCCCAAGGCCAAAGATGTCGATTCGATTCCTGCTCCAAGACACCACTGTAGGTGTGCTGTTAAAAGTTCCGCCTAGATGCTCCCAGTCGGTCCGTGACGGCCCCCAATTTGATCCATCCCACCACTTGTGATACATGCCGTTGTTGGTTCCAAGGCCGAAGATGTCCAGTCTATTAGCACCCCATGAGCATACTGCTGGAGGGCTATTGAAGGTCCCGCCTAGGGGTTCCCAATCGGTACGTGAAGGGCCCCAGTTCGATCCATCCCACCACTTATGATACATGCTATTGTTCGTTCCGAGGCCGAAGATGTCGAGCCTATTTGGGACCCACGAGACAACAGCTGGTGCGCTATTAAAGGTTCCTCCTAGATGTTCCCAATCGGTACGAGAAGGGCCCCAGTTCGATCCATCCCACCACTTATGATACATGCTATTGTTCGTTCCGAGCCCGAAGATATCAAGCCTGTTTGAACCCCAGGAGGCTGCAGCAGGAGCGCTGTTGAAGGTCCCGCCAAGGTGTTCCCAGTCACTTGGGGAAGGACCCCATCTTCCGTCCCACCATTTGTGATACATGCTGTTGTTGGTGCCAAGCCCAAAGATATCGAGCCTGTTAGAGCCCCAAGAAACTGCAGCTGGGGGACTGTTGAAGGTTCCGCCAAGATGCTCCCAATCGGTTGGTGAAGGATGCCATCTCCCATCCCACGCCTTGTGATACATGCTGCTGTTCGTTCCCAGTCCGAAGATATCAAGCCGGTTTCTACCCCAAGAGACAGCAGCTATGGACGCAGGGCGCAAGAGTGAGAGCGTCTCAAGTTCGCTACTCGACATCGATGGCATTGTATCTTCAGGCGCTGGGCCTCCTGAACCTTCGTCCATCACGGAAGAGATAGAGAGTATCACGCCTTAAGGCTTCTCGTTCTCGCTAGACACTCCCTGAGTACCCTCACAATCGCTGGCTACTGTCGGCAGATACGAATGTGCGGTAGAGGTTTCCTATCTTTGTCAGAACAGTCCAAAGTCGGTATTACAAACGTAGCAGCGTCTGTGTGATTGGGAGGCTTGAGCTTTGGAACAGAACTCACTGCCCTTGATGACTTAGGGACACGGTGATGGCGAGTGTGCCGTACGGCCCTCTCATCCACATTCCCAGCTCCTTAGCTTGAAGATTTCAAGTATAATAACAACTCATTGAACTTTTTAGGCTTTCGCCTACAGTTGCTGAAGATAGCTTCGCTTCGGTCAGGTTTAAGAGAGACTGTAGAGAATCAAGGACGACCGGTGCACCAGTGGGAAGATCTAATATCGCGAGAAGAAGCGAGCTTTTCTATTGTTGTAGATACTATGAACAACCCGATGACGGCATCTCATCAGCGTGTCGCTTTGCTATTGGTTTTCAATCAGATCGTGATCAAACTCACTCCACCTGTACATATCCGACAAACACTCCACGAATGGCTTGCATATGCATTTAGAGCCGTGAGAGGTTGGCAATGTAAAAGACTCCTTGTCTACTCACTACAGATAACGTTTCTTCGATCATGGGCATTCTCAAGCACGCTTGTCCCTACTAAGAAGCGGTCTGCATCCCTACCGGTGACCGAACAAACTCTCGTCACTGCGAGTAAAGGAATCAGACACTATTCGAAAATCTCCACGAGGTAGGAGTTAACTATCAGATGTGCTAGGGTAGTGGAGTAAGTCGGTGAGTACTATTGACTCAGGCGCTGACGTGAGCGTGAGCATTGCATGAGCTGGTGGGGTAATTAAATTGGATACCAATCAGAATACGACGATGAGCAAACCCTCGCAGCGAGAAGGAATTTGTGGAACAGCCCCTTCGAAGGCATTATAAATCTTGCGTTAGTCTCCTGCGTGATCTTTCAGCTGTTGTCTGTACCGTTCCCGCTTCTAGCACGCTACACAGTTCGCTGAATGCACGCTCGCTAGAATGCCTGCCGGAACGCCACTAGAATGCGGAAGGATGTTGCATGACGAAAGAGATATCAATGAGCTATATGTATGTAATATAGAATAGCTGAGCAGCCCGTGTTTTAGCGCAATACTACCTCTATTGATGCCATTCATAAAGACGTCCTTTCAGCTTTCCGCTTTAAGCTAAAGGCGTTCGATAATTCTGAATAGCTGACAAGTCTTCGGTCAAGGACACAGGCCGCCCTCGATCCTGGAGTCAGCTCCACTGTGTCTCTTCAGCCTTGCAGTCTCGCCATTTCGGAGTGAAACGTTTGGCTTCAGCTAAGCTTCACGCTTACTCTCGCTTGGCACACTAAATGGGTATAGTGGATGGCCTTCGCTTTGGGTTCGAGGTTAGGACTCGTTCCACCATCGCGGAGTTCTCCCGCTGCAAGCTTACAAGCAGCTACCCCGCCTTTGGTCTTGCAAGCAATCTTCAAAGTCCAGCTGAAGGGTTGCATCGGAGTGCCTCGTATTTGCACCAGAGTTCATTAGGGCATTTTCGCAGCGCGGCTTGGAGGGGTAAATCGAGGCCTGGCTTGGTGAATTAGGTATAGCGGGTCACGATTATGCCAAGCTTTGGAGCTATTATGGCGCACAAGGACACGATCAAGACACGGTGCGGCTTCATCAAGCCGCACTACGGCTTGAGGATTTCCGACGAAAAAGGCAACGTGCTTACTCTTCCCCATACAAAATTCTCGGCTTAATCCGCCCCGAATACATCCGCCCCCTGCTCTTAAGCCATCCTAATAAGGATTTTGACTTCAGGCCACCTTGGCGGTGGCTTTGTCTTACCCCTCCAGGCTGCGCTGCGAAAATGCCCTATTCTGTCAAGATATCTGGCTGAGTCTGATCTCTATATAAGCGTCCTCCTCTCCTCAACACCCGGACCCTCTTTCTGACATCAGTCCCGCCACTACAGATTTATTACTTCAGTAATAATTACTACCTGCAGCCTAGTATTAAAGCTCCTTTACCACAAAGCTGTGTGGTAACCCTAAGCACTGCGTTTTGATCTACCTACAAAACCGCCACATCCACTACACAGCCAATCTGCCTTACTACAAGATGTCTCGAAGCAATCTTGCCGTTTTCTACGGACCGAGCCGGATCACCGATGAGAGAGTTTTGAACGCAATTGCGACTGCCACTGATCGGCGCCAAGACTTTCTTGTCTCGAATGGGTCAATGGGTGGCGATCCAGCCGTGGGGATATTTAAGCACGCGATAGTGTTACACAGGTTGCACGGCAGTCCGCTTAGGGCACGAGTCGCGGGCGAGGGCCAGTCTCTTCCATTTGGGACAGATATCCAATTGATTACGTATGGGGGTGCGATAGTCAACGACCCCACTATCTATGAGTCGGCCTACAGAGCCCTCATCGACAATTCTCCCTTTCCAATTAACAACAATTCAATGGGCGGGGACACTCTTCCTGGCACGCTGAAAACCGCCACGGTGACCTATTACCGGAATCAGCAACAGCCAGTCACAGAAACTCGCTCGGAAGGAGATTCTTTCAGATGGAGTGCGCGCGATTGAATGTATCTGGGTAACATCGCCCAGCTGGCAGGTGCAAATGGATGGATTACCTTTGTTTTCGTGGCCGAGATTCCGTTAGGCGTCAAAAGGGGCGCCGAGCTTAAAGAGTAAGGTGAAAGTTCATTGCGGATTGATGGAAAGTCATGATTACTGCTTGGCGTTTGCGCTGAACGCCAAACCTGCGTCGGCCTCGAGGTTCTTTCCGTGCCCCACTTTGAAATCTAACAATGTTCTTGTGTTATGTTTCTAATCCCGTCCAGCCAAACCGTCCCGTTCCCCACCCGCCCATAGTATTCAGATATCACACCCTGCGCCTTTCCCTCTCCTTCCTTTCCATCGCCCTGCATCCCTGCCTCGTTGCGTAACCGCCTTCATACCTCCCTCATTCTTACCGACTACTGCCGCTACATGGAAGCTCATTACTGCTCCTAACATCACCGCCTTCCTCTCTCGTGTGGCCCTCTGGTCGCGCGCTTGCGGCAAGCCCCCAAAAATATGCGTGTTCCGCTCACTGTGCCGCACTTGCCCTCGGGCTACGCAGAGAACCTGCGCTTCTGATCCCTGTGCGACACGTTTGGCGCCCAGTCAATCCAATTGGGGAGAATGTTACCGAGCTGACGCTGAGAAAGACCGTGCGGCATGCGGTGAACCCTGTACCGCTGACGATCCCAGTGCCGAGTAGCGGCCCTAGGCGTCACGGACGTCAGGGAAGAGAGCACGAACATGCATCGGCCTGTAGGGGAAGCACGCGTTGAAAATTAGTTCAGATTTCGTCGAGCGAGAGAAGCTGTCTTTTCACTTCCGCTTTCCGCGTTTCCACTGTAACTTTAAGAACAAAGGCTGCAAGAACTTTGTTGCTGGGCAAGGGATCGCAATACTAAATCCCCTTCCGGATTCCTGTCTGACGCCGCGCTAAAGCTCCAGCTAGACATCCTTCATGTACTTCAAGCTATATGTCGACCTTTAAAGATAGCGAAGTTCCCAGGGCACATTCTCTTTTATCTTATAAAGTCCTTACTCAGCACGATGTTTAAGTGAAGGAATCAAAAGGCCGGCCGTGAGTTAGCTAGAACAGTAAAACATTGTATAAGGAGCTACTTCAGGCTAGATACGAAGAGCCTGTATACACCCTGCATCTATTATCTTGATTTCTAGCTATCCGCGAACGTGTCAGCAGCCGTTGTAAAGCTAGGGTATATTACAACCTTACCTTGCTTCTAGTACTCTCTCCGGAGCTGCTGTCCATGAATCACCTGGAGTTAGAAGACATCTTGATGGTCCGATCGCCAGATTTAGCTTTGCGGAGCAGAAATGGCAAGGATATATTATCCGTAAATTGCGTAGGCCGCTCAAAAGTAGTGTAATTTTTCAGCTTCATTATCCTCTCCGGGGTGGTCGATAGCCTCGCCCGGCGGGCGGCCGAATTTTACCCGTATCAATATAATTGGTTCTGAATCCTAGTCACCGGCCTGTCATTGGCTCTTGTCCTCGTCCGCCCGCCCGCCTGGGCGGGCTATCGACCACCCTGATCCTCTCTGGTCTTTAGTACTATACGACTATCACTGAACATACTTGGTGATAATGAAGCCTTCTCGTGTTGAGCCATAGCTCCGGAACGTCTCAAGGCAACAAAGTTCATAAAGAAGTGCAGACATCAAACGATTGCTTCACACAAAATTGGGTTGATCGTCTGGAGGTTAGATAAATTTATATTGAGTAGCCTCAACCTTCTCGTTATCGTGTTGTAGAAGGTGCATCCGAAGAAGTAGCCTGTTGTTGAGAAGAGTATCTCTTAATATCGTTTCTCTATGTATGATATGAAGTCATTGTGCTTATTTGTGACGCTCAGACTTCTCTCACGAGACCTCTAAGTGGAAATCCTCAACAGGTCCTGGTTTTCATCTATGAAGATAGTGTCGTGGGTAAGTGGTTTGAGTATAGACTCAGGTGAGCAGGTCATGTGCGGTCGCGGAGGCGAGGTATCGAGGCAGGACCATCGAGGCAGCGATATCACCACGGCGATAGATCAATGAGGCTGCGCGGCATGCAGAACGAGTGCTATTGTCCTTGATACTATGATACAACTGGTGGTTGATTGCATGAAGACCCTCGAAGCGCAGCGTGCTCAACCTATACCAACTCTCACGTGATAAACCTCCTGCACCACCACAATAGGTCTGGAATATAGTGTGAAGCTAGTGCTATCTTCAGCTGTAGCCTAAAAAGGTGAGATTGTTATCTGGCAGGCTTGCTGGCCTGAGGCATCCCGCTGGGAATAGTATTCGTTGGCGCCTTCGTGAAGGGGTATTGGAGTTTGAGCCATCTTGTTAGGGTCAAGAGGATATGACAGAGGGCTTCTTTCGGGCGGAATATGCTTGTACTGTCCTTCAAGCATATGCCTCGTCTCGACCAAGCACCAGGTGAGAAGATATGCCACTTCTTTGGGCATATCATCTCGCACAAAGATGACGAAATCCGAGAAGTCCAACGCCGGCAATTCTTCAGGCAGATTGTCCCAGAAGCGTGCTTGTAGCGGATTATTTCTCAGTCCTAGAGATCCTTGTAGGCTCTCTAAAGCTTCCGGTTCAGCCGGCAAAGGCACCAATTTATCCGCCTCGATAAGTCTTCTCCACCATGGTGTCATGATGGCTTCTTGAAGAAGGGCGTCCGCTTCTCCAGTTTCAACGAATGCGACACACCGCTCCGGCCTGTGAGCCGTCAGGAATGTTCCATTCCACGACTCTATAGTAGTTTTAGAGATTCCGTGGGCATTCAGGAACTCATTCGCGACGTATCCGATTAAATTAGTCCCGTCGTTGACCGCGGTTGCGATTCGCAGAGCTGGTTTTTGTCGTCTAAGTTCCTCGAAGGTCTTGATGTTGTGTTTAGGGTTGACTGCGAGAACCATGCGATCGTTCTGCGGCAGTGTGGCCAAGGCACGTAGGTGTGGCATTGCTGTTGAAAACGGGCCTTCGCCATTAAGAGCTTTGCTCATCAGCGCCGCTGGAGTGCAAATGGCCAAGTCTGCACTTCCATGGTTGAGCTGCATCAGACCATCTAGGCCTCCGTCACGGAGACTCCAGATCGCGGACCGGCTTCCAGGACCGGCCCTGTCACAGAACTCTTGGGTGAGCCAGGAACATATTCGGTGAAAGTTGGCACCGCCCCAGTCACCAACAAAGTTGAGCGTGTAGGAACGGGAGAGTCTTGGCTGCCCTTTCTCGTCAATGTTAAGGCCTTCCATATGCTCTGTAAGTTTTGTGGTCATATTGTTTTTCCCGGGATGGGACAATCAGTGGAAACAGCGGCAGTGAACTGGAGTCAGCCTACTAGAGTTCTAAGAGAGGAAAAAGTTGGGCTCGAAAAGCTCGGTGGCATTCGGAGTGTCTTAAGGGCTAACGCTGACTACGGAGCAGTTTTTGGACTAACAAGTCGAGGTGGGGAACCCTCCGATACCATAAAACCCGCCAGGGACAGCTGACTCGGCTCCGTCCCGCATGGCATGTCCGAGGACCGGATGCCACATATCATAGAGAAGCGATGTCCTTGAAATCATTAAAATCCTAGCCTAGCAACCAGCGGCTTGATCTATTTTCTCTATCTGCACGCAAACATTACTTGTGCAACAGGGGTGTACGTAGTCTACCGATTGTTCTTAAGAGATTGGAGTATCACTCTGAGGATTGGCCTAACCTGGACTCTCCGTGTTGATTTATCTCGTCTACCACTTCTTCAAGTACGGCAGCTTGGTGCACAATGCCTTCGTCAGCAGATTCCGAGATCTTGCCGCATCAGCAGCAGGGACACCAACACCAAGAGTTTTACCAGAATTGCATATTGGGCAGTCATATCCTTCACTATCATGGGTGCACGAATATCACAGTTTCGACGATGAGATATGCATCTAACATGGACCAGGATCTTGGATGCGTACGGGCACCTCTCTTTCCGGCACCCGACGAAACGAGATGTATTCATCATGTCCCGGAACATGGCTCCTGCGACCATCACTTCCCCGCGAGATCTGGTGGATTATCTCGTATCTGATGCTTCTGCCGTTGATATCGGCGCCCCTTCAGGCTACATAGAAAGATACATCCACAGTGAGATATACAAAAAGTATCCGGCTGTCAATAGCGTCATCCACAGTCATGCTAGTGCTGTCATACCTTATAGCATCTCTGGTAAGACTACTGCGTCTCATCGTCTGCAAACAAGGACACTGACTTGAACTTTCTCTCTAGGTGTACCTCTAAAGCCTTGTCTTCACATGGCGGGATTTTTAGGTACGATGAGACGGACTTGACATTTCTCCGTGTCTCAAACCTGCTCTCGGAGGTTCCTGACATTGTTTCTTATAGGTAAATCAACACCGGTTTACGACATTGAGAAGCACTATCGGCCTGACGGCGTCCGAGATCTGCTGATTCGGAATGCCCCTCTGGGGGAATCACTCGCGTCGTGCTTCTCCGGTCCAGACGGCACCTTACGTACTGATCAGAACGAACCGGACCATTCTGTCGTTCTTATGCGTGGCCATGGCTACACAGTAACAGCACACAGCATTGAAGAATGCGTTTTTCGTGCTATCTACACCAGAGAGAACGCAGCTATCCAAACAACTAGCCTCAGTCTCAAAACTGCATATCTGGGAACTGGTGAAGCAGCTCCGGCCCCTGAATACCTGCACGATGACGAGATCGCAGGGACAACAGCAATGACGCAATCCGCCTGTGGTCGGGCATGGGGGCTATGGGTCCGTGAGGTAGAGGCTGCCAGATTATACGTCAACGATAGTTGATAGTCCTACAAACCGTGCTGTACCTCTTCGAGAGGCTCACTTGGTCGGGCCCAGTCCCACAATCGTTATAGCAGTCTTGCCATTTTTGCAAGCAGGTTCACGCAATCGAGACTACAAAGCATTCAGCCCTTTCCTGGTTCATTTGAATAAAACGTTCCCTTGCACTTCACCTCAACTTCACGTCGTTCTCATACGGTAGGCGCACTTTGGCTTCAGAGGAGAAAACCAAACGGAACGACGTTCGTCCCCTCTTCTCGGAAGCCCCCTCGAACAGCGGCTTGCTTCCGAGCCGCTTCCGATTGCCCCCACTCCCCGCTTCGTCGATCATTGGCCCTAACTCTTTTGTCCATGCGCTTGTGGATGCCCTCTCCACCCGCAACTCCAGGTTCATCGAGATTGTGGGACAAGATTTCCTTGGCCACGGGACTTTGACTGCAGCCGTGTCCGCATTTGCGGTAATCGGCAAGGGAAATCTTGATGACGGGCCGTGAGCAAAGTCCCCAGCTAGTGAAGATTGACACCAGAGTAGCACATAAGCGAGAGTCTTTTCTCGAGAGTCGATCACAACCCATTCCGTTTCTCATCCACGTTCGACGTGTGCACCACCAAGAACATCTTCCATTATGGACAAAGCAGATCTCGAGCACGTCGAGACCAATGACGGACAATCACGAGCTGTCCCCTGCCGGGCTTATCACAGCGCTGATAATTCACGGTCGCGATGAGGCTGAGAAATGAAGTACAGACTAATCGGAAGATGATCCGAGGCCGTTCCGAATTTACGCTTTTCTGGAAATGGGATCGAAAGGGCGGCAAGAGATGACGGTCCAAAGCATTGAAGCAGGAACCTTACCACCTAAACTCAGGGTTTCGCCCCCGCACAAAATTAGTCTTGCATCATCGAAGCGCCTTGATGTTGGGCAAGCAAGAGAGTGAACGTTCAACGCAGTCCAAGGAACTGCACCAACGTATGGCTATGCCTAAGATGAGGAGAGGATTCTGTTCAGACCAAGGCCATTGCAAGCCTTCTCAACCTTGAGAGAGGGCTTGGATGATTCGTATAGTTAGTCCGACATAGACCTTTAGTCCCAGAAGATAACAGTGCTGGCATGCAACATGCTCTTCATCGGCAGATAGGAAACTCCGACGCTGCCAAGGAAGGGCACTTTCGGAACATGCACTCCAGGCAACGTAGCAGAAGTCTGTGAACTGACCGAGATTTGTCCGCCCTCTCTAAACCAACTGTGAAGCTCCCCGCACGAGCCAAAACTTGTTTTTAGACGTCTACTAAGGATAAGGCATGATTCTCTATCTGTCTATATAATACTTCTTCTAAGGAGAACGTTATTGTAGCCTAACATATAATAAAATCACTCACCGGCTGGACCTCGGGTCAGTTCAACGACTTCTGCTATGTTGCCTGACTCCTAGCTGATTGCTCAATTTGCACTCCAGCAGCCAAACTCACCACAGCGCAGGCCCCTCTGCGGCACTATGCAACCGTCGAAGATGAAAAGGCAGAAGGTGACACTCGCATGCGATCCTTGTCGTACCAGAAAGACTAAATGCGATGGCCGCGGTCCTACGTGCCAGTCTTGCGAGAAAAGAGCTGGAACCGGTGTGAAGTGCACATGGCAGACCAGTTATCCGCGCATGTCTGAGCAGCCAACGTCCGAGCACGATCCATGGGTTGATGTTCAACCTTCATTGATGCAACAGGGTACCCCGTCTCATCATCCGAATGGTGTTCGGGGTACAAGCGTTGCGCTCGACGGTTCCACGTCACAGGCAGTAGGCGCCACTGGGAAGTCACCTTCATATCCGATTCAGCCTATTGCCTATCCGTCAGCGCTTTCACATTCGCCCCCATCGCCATCTGAGCCTAACTTCCAGACACTGGATCGTCCGGAGCGTGGCTTTACCGGACTTCAGCAGCGCCAAGACTCTATGCACAGACCTTACGGGGTGTCTCCCTCCGATCGTTCAGTTCATGCTATTATTGGAGCTACTCTCGAAGAAGATAGCAGGGAAGGCTTCTTTGGGAGTTCCAGCGCTGGAACTTTCATGCAAAATGTGAAGAAGATGGTCCAGCAGAAAGTCGAAGGAGTGCAACAATCCGAGCAGCCTTCCTTACATCAACATCTGCAAACTCAACCGCTACCGGCTTCGGGTCATAATACTATCAGAAAGAAGCCGGTGGACTATGTTCTACCCTCTCGACGAAAGGCAGATAACTTAATGTCTGCTTATTGGAGATATGTGCACGTCCTTTACCCATATCTCGACATGATGCAGATTCAAGACTATTACGAAAAGCTGTGGAAAGGGGATGGATCGGTCCCTGATGAACGGTCACTCGTGTGCTTACTCAACGTCGTGTTTGCTTTGGCCAGCCAGATTGATGAGTCAACGCCGATCGAGGAAAGAGGACAGTTAGCTAACGTCTTCTACACGAGAGCAAGAGACTTGCTGGATATCGTGGAAACTGGATCAGTGCGCTCTGTGCAATCCTTTCTACTTCTGGGACAATACTTCCAAAGCACTAATGAACCTCATCCATGTTGGGTGTTTATTGGACTTGGTATACGCACAGCACAGAGTCTTGGACTTCATCTACCCGAAACTAGTGAACGTGCGGCTGATACTCGGACGCGCGAGCTCCTGCGGAGAGTATGGCATGGGTGCATTCTAATGGACAGAATTGTCTCAATGACGTATGGTCGTCCGTGCATGATAGGTCCAAAAGCCGCTATCTCGGTACCTCTCCCGTTGCCCATCGATGAGGTGCACCTCGTCCAAGGATTCTCACAGTCTCAACAACAATCTGTCCAGATACAGCAAACCTCCTCAGTCGAGTTTTTCGTCCTATCCCTCAAGTTGTACGAGATTTTGCACGACATTATTTTCAACTTCTATTCTGTGAATTTCCAACACAGCAAGCCAATGGACAGTGACATATTCTTGGGGTCACAGAGTGAAAATCAATTCTCGGTCTTCGAGATCGAGCGCAGGCTCTCAAAGTGGGAGCAGAGCATACCTGACCGCCTGAGAGTTGCCACCAAGCCTCAAGGTAAAGGTGCAGAGGCTACACTATACCGTCAAGCTGTAGTTCTTCACCAAAGGCAAGATTCAATCCTCAATCCGTCTGTAACTACTAACATTTCCATAGACAACTCCACGTTCGGTTGTTGCTCTTGAGGCCTGTTCTATCGAATTTCATCACTTCCGAGGTTCATGATCGAGACGGTCCTGTCCCCTTAGGGACCTTGTTGTCCCATAGGATTTTTCTCCAATGTGCAATCGTATGCGTGAAGGCTGCGCTTGAAGCTATCAACACAATTTACACGGAGAGAGGTAGCAATGCTGGCGAAACTGGATTTCTTGCGGCTTGGTGGTATAACGTACTCTATTTGTACACATCAGCAACGGTCCTCATTGCTGCTCGTCTTAGCCCCGCCATCCTCGCTGATATCTCGGAAGAGTCGATACTCGATGGCTGGCATAAAGCTATGGAAGTTCTCGAAGGCTACAGCCCCTTTGGCGCAGCCATAAACCGTCTTGCCACAACTCTGCGTCTCCTATTCGAGGCCGTGCCGCAGCAATATTCACGCTTCAAAGAGAATTTTGGACGGGTCCAGGCAGACACGTCATTATATCCTCAAAACCAAAGCCAAGGCACAGGAGCCCTGCCGTATTGGCGTCCACTGGATCCTGTTGACTTTGTCTCAACACCGGTGGACGTTCTTCCCAGAGAGCACCCACAGGATGATAACAATGCTCTTCCCAATGACTCTCTTCTCGGTTTGGACATAGTCTTCGACCCAACCGATCTTGCCTGGCTTATGACTATTCCTCTAGATGCTTGAGCTTCTGTCCAGTCTACTTTGTGACGTTAAGGGTTTTGTTGCACATTTGCATCTGCGAGTATTGAATTTTGCGGGGCGAGCACTGCCCAAGAGCTTTTGCCTGTTATTCGTACGCGGCAGACTTATACCGAAGGTCCGACAAGCGTCCAACCGATCGAGAGTTCCATCGACCTCTCTGAGAACATGGGAACTGAGTAAAAATGGCTGAAAATCGTTGTTCGACCAAGGATTGAGGTTTCCCGCCTCTGGCTTGGCACCGGAACTGCCGCTTTCTGCAGAATCGTTTAGTCACCACGTTGTCTCGCGCCATCTGCTCTGGGCCATTATGCAGATGCTGCAGGTCTCCTCCATTCAACCTAGAGTCTCGCTAAATCATCTCGCAACGGGGCTTTCGCGACCTTTCGAAAACCGTGATGAATCAAGGAATGTCTTCCAGGATCTTGACATGACCAGGGCACTCTGCAAGGCATGCTTCATCTCAATAGTCACAGCCGCAAGTTGCGCCAAAAACGGTACCATGCCACGAGCTGCATCTCCGACCAGGACTACTTTGCCCGATTTGCCCACCGGCGATGGGAGCGGAGGAAGGTCAGCGAGCGTCCATCCCAAGCAGCTCGTGACCTTTGCAAGGTCTTTGCGTATAACTAGGTTGAAGCCTGCATATGTGGCCCTCATTTGCTCGACATCACCGGGCACATTCCATTCTCCAGGCTGAGTTTGTCCATAGTGACCAGGGTGGCTAGTAGTCGGTCGGTCCTGGTCCAAGGCCTTCGGACCGTCCGACTAAGTAAGGGGGCACTACTAGACCGACCAACTAGTTGCAACTCGCAGTATGCCTCATTCCCAGAGGGAGAGCATGTCGTGTTCGAGAGGGTGTGTCAAAGACGATGTGTAAAGACTCAATGCGGAAAGCAATAGTTGCTCAATCGCTGCTCTGGGATTCCAAGCTGCTCCGTCTAGAAGTTTCCATCGTGCAGTGGTGGGTGCCCCTCGCACTTGGCCCCTTAGGCTGCTCAGGGATAAGTCCGGTCTGATGCCTTGGATGATATTAGCTGTACAATCCCATGCTTACAGTCCTGCGTAAATGAGAGCAGTCTTACAGAACTTCCGGATGTCGACGATTGTCGGCAACTTCGTGAGACTCGATTTTGCAACTTGACGGACAGTAAGTTCCTTACTTCAAGAATGCTTGGAAGCCGAGATCGCATGTCAGACTTGTTCAAAAGAAAAACGGTTGGCAAGAATGTAGCAAGAATGAGACCAAATGTCCACATTCGATATGAGCTTCTGCTTTCTCCATCATCCCCAATAAACCATGAACTTAACTTATCCAGTCGATCTTTGCCTCCCGTTTCAATGACCTCTCCGTGGCATGGAATGGTTCTGCCGTAACTCCACTGTCGCATTCGCTTGGTTTGTCAGCCGCAGCACAGACGTACCACAAAAACTGACGCTGCCGGAAAATATTGCACCTCGTATTCATAACGCCGGCAAACATAGTGGCTTGAAGTTCAGAAGTAGAACTCACTGTTGACTTGTAGAATTGTTCCGTGGAAGGGAGATCAAAGAGAATATCGGCCTCGATCAGAGTTTCAGAGGGTTTATGAAGACAGACGAGCTCTTGGTGGCCATAAGAATGACAACACTCATAGGTAAACTCCTCAGCTGATTCGTCGGTTATTCGCATCCTAGCTTTTTTGTCCCGAGTGAAGAGATGAATGAGTTCTATTTCCTCAGTCTCAGGGTCTTCGGCTCTCTTTTCGGGAAACTCCTTCCATTGCTATTGAGAAGGCTTCGGGGTATGCAGTTGTCTATGGGGACAGAAACATACCATGCGATTTGCTGAGTATTACGGTGTACTTGACACGTCCCGGACATCGTACTTCCTCAGCCAACGGACATCAGAGAAAGACTGCCACGCTTCCGGTTTTCAACTTGATGAGAGTGCAACGCCAACCAGTCTTGATTATGTCAAATCGCTAGGGAGGTAAACTAATTGTAGAGATATCCGGAGTAAGGTCACAGATTACCATAGTCTCAGCAGGGTTCGTTGGCACGCCGAAGAGTTGCGACTATGGAATGGACATTGCTAAGTCCCAACCTCTTGGTTCTGACCGCTTGGTGGTGTCACTCAGCAGGCTCTTTCGGATCGGAACTTGCAGGTAGTCTGAATATAGCTATATTTGGCCCACTGTATGAAGTGGCAGAAAGAGGAAGCTTGGCCAAATCGCAATTTAGGAGTACCAGCGAGCAGCTCATAGAAATCTTAAGGAAAATCTGGAGCGAGTGCTAGTCGGCGTCTGGAATAGTCCGGGGTGGAGATGAGCTTCTCTCCTCCCGCGACGACCGCGCCTATACTGATATCTATTGGGCTCTCATGTGATAGGCTAGCTTTAGACCAGCTAGGCTACGTGTGATGAACTACATGTGTATATTGGGCAAAGTGTGTTGAAGCAGCTGCTCGCCGCAACAACTGCATCGGATGACCTAACGGAAGAGGGATGTGGAAAAAGTTTTGTTCGGAAGTGGGCTCGGAGACAGCTTCGGAACCAAGGCTCGTTTGTAGAGCGCGAACTTTGTGTCCGCGATCCCGTTCCGAAGTTTTGAGATTTTGGACGCCAGTTCAAGGCCTGAAACCTTGAAAGGAATGGGCAGCTTTTCTGCCTGGCAGTTTCGCTTTCCAAGTACCTGAGAAAGTCACGTCCGAAAGTCCAGGAAAGCGACTGCTCGGCATGGCGAGAGGATTTGTACTTGTCTCGCGGAGCCGTGTGACTTCGCAGAGTCTCACAACATGGGGAGTTTTCTGACGTCAATGGTTTGTGGGACAACGCTGGGTCGGCTTTCCGGAATCCGTTCCAACCAAACTCAATAGCCGGCATTTGTCGCCTGTTGCAGGAGCTTGAAACCCACTATTGGTGCACACCATGAAAAAAAGTGGGCAAAGAGGAACGACCGCTATTCTACTTAATGGCGATCACGCCGCCCGAGATACGGGACAAACCCTTGGGTGGGGGAGGATTATTCGACTCCCCAGTTCTTGTCATTTCGAACTTGTTCACAGCGCGTTTCGCTTGTTTCTCATCACGTACCGCCGCATTCATGGTTACGACTATAGCCATCCTTGGTGCAACAGGGAAGACAGGGCGTCAGGTGTTGCAACGGTTCCTGGCGAAGCAAGATGTCAATATACGAATCTATGTCCGGTCACACTCGAAGCTCACCAATATCTTTCCGTCCCTGCCTTCCGATTCCCGCGTGTCAATCTTCCAAGGGCCACTTCAGGACATCGATAATATGAGCAAATGTCTAGACGGTGCACAGAAGATTATCTTCACGCTTGGCGAAAATGACAATCTCCCCGGCGTCAGCGTCATTGAAGATGGCGCAAAGTCAGTCCTTGCTGCTCTTGCAGCGTTACGTCAGGGAAGGAAGAACTGGCAACGGCCTCGAGTCATCTTGTTATCGTCGGCGACGTGGAACGCTACATTTGCTGCCACACGGCCAGCCCTGGTCCATTGGGCTATCAAGGCTGCCTTTATTCATCCTTACACGGATCTACGCCGCGGGCAAGCAGTTTTCCTCGATGCTCCTTCACTGGTCAGCGTCCTTCTTGTCCAGCCTAATGCCATTGTCGAAGACGAGCCTAGCGGCCATGAGATCAGTGTCGAGCGGGCCAGTCTCAGTGTGACTTATGGTGACTTAAGTGCTGGAATTGTGGACTTGGCCTGTAAGAAAGAATTTGACACCCTGACTGCGGTGGGTGTGTCCAGCAAAGCCGGTGATAATGGTTTGAAGTATGGTCCCATACTTGGGTACAGGATTGTCAGGGGGTTGTGCGCCACGTATGTTCCTGGGTTTTGGTCCGTGAACAAGTTTGTGAACGCGATCATCTCGACAGTAACATTCAAAAGAAAGACGATTTGATATGTCTCTCCTCTATCACCAATGCCTGTATTGCTTGTTGTGAGTGGCTTTCTTGACAAGAGTCCCTGCTAATGAAAATGCTAATCAGAATCTTATGACCAAAATTGTAGCCCCGACTTTATCGTTGTGAAGAACAAGCACAGACCCACAAGCACAGCTAGGCCACGAACACTTCCGCTTCATGAGCTCAGCTCGTACTAATCGACAGGAGATATCCTTCGAGCAGCCTACTTGGCGCAAAGTCGCCCAATTTCTCAAGCAGACAGTAGTGAACCCAACACAACGACTCGCTTGGCATCTTTGGAACCGAACGTCAGCCTATCCCAAAGTCTTATAGCAGTGAGATGTTGGAATGTATCCCAGCTCCTCCGGGATCATCCCAGGGCCAGGGACTGTAAACCATCGAGAGAGTCCTAGAGTGCCGAACCTCCCTCCATGCACCTAATCTCTGCACCCTACGAGATATGTTGCTATGCTTTTCCCCGTGTTAAAGCGTCCCCATACTGAAGCACCAAACACTCTTCACGTTCGTCCGGCAGCTTCAGCCCTTGGGCTGATGTCCCTGTGTGACGAAATAGAATGGCAAAGAGAGGATAGCAGACCCGGAACCATTTTAGTCTAGATCACGAGTATGTGGTTAGTTCGTGAGGACAGTTCTAAGAATCCGTCTTTAAACCATTGAATACAAAATTCCTGCCTCATATCTGGCTACAAGCCTAATAGTCCCTATCATCCCCTTAGTTTGGTCCCATAACAAGTCACGTTAGTATGATACAACCTATGAAGGAGGCAGGTGAGGTATAAGACTTCGGAATTGTATTACCCTGCTGCTTAGGACCGGTCTTTCTTGCAGCTATTCTTAAACCGATGAATTAGAGGTAGCAGAAATGTCTTAGACGCAAAGACAAGAACAGCCTCGGGCTACGAGGAATAGTCAATTAAAGTCCTCTCTCAGAGGCACTTACCACTTAGCATCCTCGGCACGACTGACTCAAATATCTAGAGCTTTGCTAGATGCTCGCCCAAGCATCACACGGCATTTTCGGCACCCTGAGATACTTCATTCAGTTCCAAACCCACATGCGGGACATAATATACCTGCTGAGGGCATGCGTCTTCACATGACTCATTATTTCCTTTGTACAGACAGCTGGATCTTCCTACTGTCGAGGAGCGACCGCAGAGAAAGTAGAGTAAATATACAGGGCTGAGAGTGAGGCGTTAGAACTCAGTGGTTTAGTGCCCCTGCGAGACTATGCAAAGACATGGCGGAGCCGCCTTACAATGCATGTACGTTTTCAAGTCCACTATCTGGACAAGAGCTCACGAGTTCTGCAAGCTACAAAACATCGGTAATCATCGAGGTAGAAGTTTTATCAGGCCTGTTATTATCATGGATAAACAAGTCTCCAATGACGCACCAGCTATTCAAAGCAGCGTAGCGTATGCCCTAATCATGTAATTATATGACTGCACTGTGTAGAACAGTTCCAGTATATAGCTGTCTTGATAAGGGTTGGAAAACTAGAGCAGACATGGACCAACTCCTCCATAGTTTTGCGACTTTCCTGTGCGAGCGTATAAATGACAGCGACTGCATTTTACGCTGGTATGTACCCATCCCTACTGGGAAGAAAACCCATAACGCCTTCTCCAAATCCTTCCCAACCATTAAACTCGGTCACGTACTTGATGGCTGCCTTGAGGTAAAAGTCATTCTTTTCTCCGTAGGTTTCTGCAAATGCTTTCGTAGCTCGAACGACCTTGAAAAAGTGATCATCCAGCGCCCATCTGTGCTTAAGCGCGTTCTCCGTGATCCAGTTCCAGTCTCGGCCGCTCGTTTCAACTGACTCGATTTCCTCAATTCCGAAGAGCAGTCTCTTCTGAAGGATGTAGATCAAGATAGTAAAGAAACCATACTGCCGTATGATTGAGACCCTTTTGTCGGTGGGGAAGTAGTGATATAAGACCCGGATGGCATGAGCAACAGTCGCAATATGGGCATAGAAGAAGTCGTATTTTCCATCACCGTAGCCAGAACCGATTGCCAATAAAATCGACAGGTCGCAACAATGCTCGAGTTGTTGTATCGGATCTTTGACCTCCCACGCGTTCCAGTGTTCCATAAAAGCTTCAAAGCGATTCTGTAGCACGATGCCGAAGTTCACGGTGCCCGGCATTGGGACGATCCCATCGAAACGGTCATCGCGCTGCACGCGCTTGATGACCTCTGCTAGGTCGCTGGTCTTGTATGATGAAGGTATTGGGGGAGGGTTATCCAGCAATCCGTGGCAAACGACGTACTCTGTGCACCCAAGACTCAGGGCCTCCGTAACGACTTCAGGTATTCGGAACTCATACCCATACGCGAGGTGGATAAAAGGATGTGCAACTTATCGTTATTAGCATCCAAAGTTTGATTGATAAGCTTAAGGGAACCCACGACCACCACAGAAGCCATTGATGAGAGGCTCTGGTCCCGTATACAGGTATTCTTGAACAACCTTTTCCCAGTCCCCGTCGCGCCTTCGTACCTTCTCGTCGAAAAAATCGACGTACGCAACAGTGTAACTACGTTGATCAGTAACCTAGAAGACGAAGGTACGGGATCTACACTCACGACTTGTCTCCAAGGAACTGCCTCCAGTCCTGCTCGGAGATCTTGTCACCCCGAATGAATGTTTCGTCAATGTTCACCAACGTTTTTACGTCATGCTCGTAAGTTTCAATTAGCTGCTGGCTATCGGCACCTAGTCCGTAAGCAGAGCCTAGAAGCTGCTGGGCGTTAGATGAATTTTCGGTATAGAAGTCCAACGCGAGCGATTGCGTACATGTGGAAGATGGCTATGAAGGATCAGCTCTGGATTCCGCAGCGGTGCTACAGTGATGTGGCCTTTCTCAAGCAATTTTCGCAGCGTTTGGGTACGCTGGTCAGACAGCTTGTACACATCATAAACTGGAGCAGGCTGTAATTCAGCCTGCTTCGTGGCCAGAGGAAGGCGGACGGCTTCGCTGCCAGAGGTAGTACTTGTCACCGCGGCTGACATGGTTTTAATTTTCGGCTGGTGTGTTAATGACCTAGGGTATATTGGGGTTTGGCAAGATTTTATACCTGATTCAACGATTAAATCAAAACGAGGGGTATTCAAATCAAAACAAGAGGGTAAGTGTCATCTTACGCTAAGCCCCGCAGACATCGGAGTCGGTATAGTTCAGGACCGGCTCATCAAGCGGAACGGTTTGACACATTCCGACAGTATCAGCCGGTTGGTTGGTGAAGAGTAACCACTCGCAATTCGTCGGAACAAGTGCAGCACAAGACCCACAGGTTCCGGATCTATCGCTCGGGCGACTTTGCGCTATGATAGTAATGCGGAAACCAGGGTACTCTATGAAGTACTTGCTAATATCCTCGACGGATCTGATCCGTGCAATATCCTCACTGTTAGAGCACCTTATCCGATAGCAACTCCGCTTTTCCCGTTCATCTCCGAGGAACGATCGACACTTCTAGAAGCTAAGTCTCCGGTTTAGGGTGTTCCGTTGGACATTCCGAATCCGACCGACAGGTTATAGATCCGACCGATTAGATAATATTCCGACCGGATGATTTACATAGCCAAAGACCTACCTAGTCTTCAACGCACAACGCTCGAATCAGACTCTTAGATTGTAAAGGAATATACTCTTAGCACTGCTCTTTTATACCCTTAGAACTGAATGTTTTATATCTTCTTCCATTCTTGTCCTGTGCTGCCCCAAAGTTCGAACCGATTTTGGGGATGAAGCAGGGGCCTTCGCTCAATATGCCGTTTTGATTTTGCCGTACAGATCTAAGCCTTTTTTGGATTCGTAGACAGATCTAGACCTATCTCAAAACATAGCGCGCAACTTTCGCGCTTCACCCAATCGTCTTTTTAACCCCATTGAAAAATGCGTGCACTTACTTATGGTATCTGCGCATACGCATTGTGCAACCGTCTATTTCAGTCTTTGTAACCCGATTTGATCTCGCGTTCAGATCGACGCTCTGTTACTATTATGCCTCCGAAGCACCCAAAAAGAGAGGTCGGCCGGCGAAACATGCTTCTGACGTCGAGAGAAAGCAGGAGTATGCGAAAAGGAAACGGATCCAGAGACAAGCTCAGTCTGCGGCGCAGCGAGACATCCGATTTGACCAATTCTACCTTGCGCAACAAACGCAGGCTACACCAGTTTTCCCCGTTTCGATACTACGAACGCGTCCGCAAGTTCCACGTGATCTCAGCATACTTGCAGATGCAGTAGTTGCCGCTGAACCTCAAACCATCAACTCCAGATCAGGCGGAAATCTCATCCTGTCGACGGAGAACGACGACCTGGGATCGCTGCTTCCACCTCTCAGTACTCCACCTAGTCCTGCCTGGGGTCCACCTGAGCGACATATCCGAAGACTTGCTCGTACATATGTTAACGGAGCAGGACTCGCAGAAGGCGTTGAGGAAACCAGCATGGGCGAAGATGAAAATACCGCAGCATTCGATGTGGTGATGGCCGGCGAGGCGAACAATGACGGAAACACCATTACGGTTAAGGTGCCGAGCGATAGCGATGTTGATGAAGTCGAAAAACTTGCCAGTCGGCTGACAGATTAACTGACTCAACATCAAGGGTGCCGCGGCCACTGTCATAGGCAGTACCATGATGAATATGCAGAAAGATATGCACACGATCTCGGCCTACAGGAATATCTTGACCAAATGAGAGAAGTTGTGGATATCCGCGAGACATTAGGGTCTAGAATAATCGCAAGTCACGAAGAGAATCTCGCCGGACAGAAAAATGCGGCAGCCAAACGGCGGGTATATTGTGGACTGGCCGAGGAAGACCCTGCCCCAACGCCCACACATACCTGCCTAGACGCTGAAGACCGGCCTACCACGACGGCTGGGGTTACCTTTGATATTGATAGTATCATTGGATTTCCAACAAGCCTGGCTATTGCTAAACAGGGCATCCGTTAGCATTCTACCCAGACACCAGTCTCGGACCTGCAATCGGATTTGCATCTGAATACTTGCTAAGTTCACTACCTCGACCCTCACGGGCATGCCTATACCGTGCGGAAGCCAATCCATCAACCACCGCACTACACGTTTAGACGGTTAGTGGGATTCGAAGACGTATCCTTATACTTGCTCTTCCCACATCTGTACCGCGAAGAGTAGCAGTTCAGCCGCCTCCTAGACCATGATTTCCGCATCTGGATGGATCGCATCCTGCTGCCTGCAATCTATCAATGCTGCAGCAGCTCCCTGGTGCAGCATTATCCATCCAGCTGCGACCACAGTCGTTATAACACTATAGCTTAGGGGTTGGAAGCCCGATCGCAGAGGAGCGATGTGATGGCACGAGAGCAGCAGCTTTTCCTGTTCCTACCGCCGGATTCTCTCCATCCGATATGGGAGACGATCTTCAAGAGGGTGCAGCAGCCAGGCCTGCAGCAGTTCCAAGACGTAACCATCCTGTTCCAGGTCAAAAATCTAAAGATCTTGACTAAAGACGTGACGTGGGAGGCTATAATGACACGATTCCGGACGTACTAGACTAGTGCCGTTATTGAAGCCTACGTGACTCCAGAGTTCTACTTCGATGTGGGTAAGGAAGTCTGCCCTAAGCAGAAGTCGCGTGTTGCCTGCCAACGAGCCAACAACATAACGCAAGCTCCAGAAGACTTGGGGAGAACCCGATAGAACGAGGCGGCAGAGACTCTACTACAGAGACGATGCCGCTTGAATACCTACGGAGACTAGATTAAGAGCGTATATAGTAGAGGTACAAGCGTGCAGCAGAGGGTATTTGTAACAAGGTGCTATCACAAGATAACAAAGGTTACTGTAATAGTTAGGGTCCTAATTAAGGAGGTAGGGAATAGTGCTAAGATATAGTTAACGGGGTAAGAATTAGTATCACGTAGTGAGATTAGATTAAGTTATAAAGAATGCTGGATTCTTATTTAAGTTAAGCACACCGTTTTAATAAACGAGAATAGTGCTACCTATATACTATAAAGCCTCGCACTATAATCCCCTTAATTAGTGTGATCCATTCCTAATCACACTAATTACACTAATCACACTAATTAGGCTTATCTTAGCATCTTAAGTGATTAGTTCCTTACGTGACGCTTAGCACTAATCACTTTTTATTCCGCATCATCTATCGCGGTTTGTAATACTATCTCCCTCCCCTAATAGCTTTCGTCTTAAAAGGTATATCCGCTCTCTTTCTATAACATACTAAAAGCAACTAAGCTAACATCCTCAAGATCCATATTAAAGTAATAGGGCTCCGCTAGTCTTAAACGATCCTCCACTAAATGCCGCAACGACCTAGTATCTTATTTTCGTTCCTCTAGTTCTAATATACCTACCCTATATAGTCGCTATTACTCTAAGTCGCTATCCTATTATATAGATGTCCGCTCTAGCCGTTATACCGAATGTATTTCTTTAGGCGCTAAATGCGACCTAGTTGTTTTCTATAGAGAATAGGAGTAGCTCTATACTTATGGTAAAGAGATTTATAAAAAGCTTCGTGAAGCTAAAAGAGTAATTATAGAGGCGAATCTCCGTCATATCTAGCTTAAAGATAAGCTAGCTAAGTAGGAGAGCTATTCCTTCTAGCTTATATCGCGCGAACTATTGTTAATCGCGGAAGTAGAGGCTTTAAAGCGGGAGTAGCCTAGCCCTCCTCCTAAGTTCTTAATAGACTTCCCGGATCCTACGCCTATCGCATTTTTAGATATTCTTACTATATCTCCTACAACCTAGGACGCTTTAGATAGGTTTCCTCCCTTATTCTTTAAGCCTACTTCCACTAAGGCCTTAAATCCTTATAGTACTTCCTTATAGCTTATTCGCATCTATTAAGGTTAGTACGTAGCTCCTATATATTATCTAAGTCTAGGTAGCCTTTCTATTTTATAAGGT